AAGAGGCTTGAAATTTGAATGAGTTATAGGGCATTTGATGGGAGGAGGAGGAGGGGGTAATTATTATTTCAATCTATCGCTGGATGGTGAATTAATGGAGAGCGGGTAATCATCTGAGGGAGGGCAGTTAATACAAGTTATTTATGCTATCTAGTCCCTGTAATGTATTTGCCCTAGTACTAGTTATCACAAAATTACGAGAATTTTTATTTAAAAACTACAAAATTTTTAACTAAGGAAGAAGTTTAATTTCAATTTAATATTTCTTTAAAGTGGATAAATAATTAAATTTGGATTTTTGTTATGTATAAATAAATTTAATTGAGATAAAAATAAATTTCTAAAAAAATTTATGTGTGGTAATAAAAAATAATTTTTAAAATAAAATTTGTGATATTGTGAGGTTTGGTAAAAATATATATAAATTATAGTAAAGAAAATATTGGAATCTTAAAAATATTTTGGATAATTTTAGAAAGTTAGAAAAGCAAATTATTTGAAAAAAATTTAAAAAATAATAAATTTTTTTTTCCTTCTTATTTCTCGTCATTTTTCAATACTTCTTCATTTAAATTATTAATTACTTCTGTGAAAGGGAAAGAATTTGAAGAAGAAGATTGTTGGCTATTTTGATTATCCTCTTCAGGTAAATATATTTCTGATTGCTTTAAAATAGTTTTTTAAAATTAATTTTGTTAAACCCTTAACAGAATTTACCTGTATTTCTTTATTATTAATTAAAGGTGGATAATTGAAATTACTTCCATTATATTCATTTTTATTTAAATTATTATAAATTTGTTGTTGATTTTCTGAAGGTAATAATTCTTCATTTATTTTTGAATTATTAAAATAATTTGTTGGGGAATTGAAATCCTTTTTTAAATTTTTATTTTAAAAAATTTATCAGAAAAATTTTACCAAATTCTCAACAATTTTCTCATCATTTTCATCCAAAGAAGCCAATTTTTTATGTTTAATAACTGAATCGGTTGGAGGTGGAGGGGCTAATCTTTTTGATTCTGGAATTGTTGGGAGAGTTGAATGTTGTTGTTGTTGTGAAGGGGGAGGAGGGGGAAAAGGAGGGGATTTTAATGGTTCTTGAGGAAGTTTCTGAAAAATTATTTAATTATTTAAAAGGTTGGAATAAAAAAGCGAAAAAATAAAAAATCTTTTTATATAATGGAAAAAAACCATTTAACTATTAATGGTTTTAATTAAATAACCATTTAACCATTTACCTGATTTTTATCATTAATCTCCATCCGTGATTGATTAAGCTGTGTTTTTGGAGTATGAGACAAAGCAAGAGAGCTAGTAGAACGATATTGTCCATCAACTAAAGGTGTTGCTGTTATAGTTGGATTCTAAAAAAATAAAATAATTAATGATATTTTACAGATTTTATTCAAATTTTCAGTCCCTTCCCGAGTCAATTCCCTCCTAACGTCAACAAAACGGCTCGAGGGATCCACTTATATTTTTGATAATAAAATTTACTAAAGAAGAAGAATTCTCATTTTTATTCTCCCAAGAATCATTATTTTTAATTTCCTCTTCTTCCTCATTTTTAACATTTCCTCCCCCCTCATTATTATTTTCACAAATATTAAAAGAAGTTTCCCCGGTTGCGTTTGATGCTTCAGAAAAGGATGTTGCAGATTTTGGTGGGGATGTATTTAAAGGAAATATATTTTGTTGTTGTTGTGAATATTGTGGAGAGGATATTGTTGGTTTTGGAGTAGTAGGAGTAGTTGACCATATTTGTTGTTGTTGGGACTAAAATAAAAATTAATTAATTGTAGTAAAATAGCAAAAAAATGGATCCATTTCTTAAATTTTTACCAAAATTTTTGAATTAAATTTTGTGAAATTGTTTTAGAGACTTTACTGATGGTTTTTTCCAATTATGTATTGGAAAGAAATTTTGATTCGAGTATGTATGTATCTAAAAACGCAATTAAATCAGTGCATCTATGCAAGGATGTTTCTTATTGTAAGATTTTTTGAAATTAATTAATTTTATTTTTTAAAAATTAATTTCCATTTACATTATTTTTAAGTTCAGGCAATCCTTTAGCAACAGAAATATTACTAGTTTGTTGTTGACAACAATTAGTTTTGTCATTAATAAATGGAAGATGTGGCGGTTTAAGATAACCAGAATGTTTATTGTAAATATACCAACAAAGAATTAAAATTATTAAAATTATTGACAAAATTGAAGTAAAATAAATCCAAAAATAACTAAAAAATAAGATTTTAAATTTAATTAAAAAGAGAGGGAGAGTTTTTGGAATATTTTAAAGGAGAATTTGTCCTTATTTTCGTTGTATTTTATATTAAATACCAGGGATGGGTCGGGCTGAGAAAAAAGTCGGGTCGGGTTTTCAAAATATTCTTCGGATCGGGTTTCGGGTCGAAAAAAGGCCGGGTATCGATTAACCCGACCCATCCCTGTTAAATACAGCACCCAATTTAACGTTAAATTAAAGAAACTATAACTCTAAAAAGTTTGGAAAAACTTAAAAAAAAATTAATTTAAAAAAAACCAACGATTTTTTGCTGTGACGATTGGAAGAAATAAAAGTACTAAAATTCTTATTTTCTTCTGACATATTTTTTTTAATTAAAGGAATTATTTTTGTAGTTATTAACAACAAATCCCCATCCTCTCCATTATTTAATTCAATTAATTTATTTTCATCTAAATTTTTATTTTCTTCATTTTCTCTATTTTTTTCTTCTCTAATACTTCTATTTTCATAAAAAGAAGGAGGATTTCCTTGTAAAGCAGCGGCAAAGACTATATTTGGAATTTTATTTGTTGTCCTTGTTTTTAAAATAAATTCATTATTTTCTTCTTTTTTGGTAGATAATTCTGGGGGATTTTGAAGAATTTCTGAGGGATTTTCTGAAGGAGAATATTGCTTTAAATTAAATCCTTGTTCAGCCAAAATTTTAATTAAACTGTCATCTCCGACCAAATGGCCTGTAAAAAATATATTATTTTTAATTAAGAAAATTTCAATAAATTTTATAAAAATTTGTTAATATTCACAGATATTATTAAAATAAAAATTATAATTTAGAAACAATTTTAGAAAAATCAGAAGATAATTTAGTCCTGAATTTAGCGGTTTGAAAATGAAGAAGATTTCGAGATAAAGTCAAAAATATATTCTTATAATTATGTTTATATTTGGAGGGGGAAAATAATGCCAAATTTTGGGACTTTGGAAGGCCATATCTTGGCGCCAGATCAAAAAACGGGCAAAAATGGCTCAAAATCATTGCTAGAAAGGGCACATTCTCTATCGAATAAGCCCGGTCTCGACCGTTTTTAGGTCGGACACCTCGCAACCTCTCCTTGTAAGCATTACAAAAAAGTCCTCACAAAATAATAATCCCTTATTTATCCTCCAAATATTTATTTTATTTAATTATAAATTACCAGCACTAACAACAACAAATAATTTCTTTCCCGGATTTTCCTCCAAATATTTAACAATTTTTGTAGCAATTCGTTGACGATGTTTGGCAAGATCTTTGTTTAATAAATTAATTGTCTATATAAATTAAAATAAATATTTATTTATTAAACTAATCAAAAACCCTTCTAAAATTATCCAAATCAATCTGATCAAAAAATTCATTCAAAATATTTTCTTCTCCAATTAAATCATCCGTTCTTTCAAATTCTCCACATTTATATTTTTTAATTGCCCTTTGCCAAGAACCTCCAATTATTTTTTTATTTGTTATTTCCTCTATTTCTTTTAATAATTTATCGAGAACAAATTCCATCTAAAATATTGAGAGGGTTTTTTTGGAATTTTTAATATTTATTTTTGGCTCTAATAATTTCAGTGATTAAGGAACTTCTTTGATTACTTTGGAATATTGATGATAATTAAATTTTAAATAAAAAATAAAATAAAGAAATTTTTTTGGGGGCTCTAAGGGAATATTTCTCGAAATTCTTTTAATACATTTTAAAGGGCGCGCGGCCATAACGACGCAAAGCCATAACTTGCTTCAAGATTTCCGAATCTTACCAAATTTAGCATCACATCGAGCTAAAAAGATTGATTCAAAAATTTATAAGAGACAGAAATTTTCAAGCAATTTATGGCTTTGCGTCGTTGTGGCTTTGCGCCTTTTGGGCTGTACCCTTTAGAATAAATTAAAGATATTATTTGACTCATTTAAGTCTGTTGAAATTATTTTAAAATTTAAAATATTTATTTACCACATTTCCATCAGCAGCCAAAGAAGGATAATAATCACACAAATCATTAGTTAAATTAGTTAAATAAATAATTGTTTTTTGATATTTATTCCCTATTTCTTCAATTTCTTTTGTAATTTTTTTATTTTTAAATTCATTTGTATTTGTTGCTCTTTTTTCCTTTAAAAATTAATTTTTTTTTAATTTATCATTTATTTATTTTACCAATTCAGCTCTTAAATCAACTAATCCTTGAAATAACCATTGTGCTGGGAGGTCTTTCCAATTAAAATAATTTAAAAGACCAAAACGTTGATGGTTATTGTAATCTTTAAAAGAAATTAATTTAAAAATAATTTGGGTACTTTTCCGTTATTCGACCCCAAACTAAGTGCCAGCGGCCTTTGAAAAGCTATAACTTTTTGACAAATAAATTTTATATCATTCGAAAGCCTTTGATAAGCTTTATCTTTTTTCTAATAGAATAGATCAAGTCTGATCACTCATTAAAAAGTTATAACTTGATAGATTAACCGATAATTATTCGGGGTTTTTCAGTTATCGAGTTATAACTTTTTAATTGATGATCAGACATGATCCAACTATTCTCAGTTATCGAGACCAACAAGTGGGAAAGAATAGAGCTTATCGAGGGCTTTCGAATGATATAGAATTCCTTTGTATTGAAGCAAGCATCAAAAAGTTATAAATTTTCAAAGTCCGCTGGCACTGTTTGCGGTTATATAATTTTTTTAGCCTTTAAAGATTTTTAAACAATTTCAAAAAAATATTTTTTTTTATTTTTACAATTTTGAAGTTTTTCCTCAATTTTCTTTCCAAACGGAATTTCCTTTTCTTTTAATTTTTTAAAACATTCTTTCCAAGCTGCTTGTTTTGCATTATAATTAGTTTCTAATAAAATAATTTCAGAATTATTTAATTCTTTCCACAATTCTTTTGGTAATTCTTCATTTATTGTTAGACTTTTTAATGTCCCTTTAAATTTAAATATTTAAATTTAAATAATTTAAATTTAAATTAATTTAAATAACCAAAAATGTGTGAAACACTACTATTTCTTCCATTTCCACTTAAAGTCCAAAAATAATTGAAAATCTGAAATTAAATAATTTTTGAAATTGATTTTTTTGGGTTTTCTTGTAAGTCTTTTCTGGCTTTCTAAATTTTAATATTTTTGTTTAACCCTGAAGAATCTTCTTTGTGGGACAAAAAGAGAAGTAAGGAAGAAGCAATTTAAAATTGATACATATAATTAGGATTGTTTTTTCGGGCTTGTTTTTATCGAGTCGGGCTGGTACGATTCACTTTCGGGCCAAATTTCTTAGGCCCGCCTCGATTTTTCGGTTCAAGTCGATCCATTTTGGCTCGACTTGAACCGAACATATAATCATCTATTTATCACATATATAATCATCTATTTATCTACATATAATCATCTATTTATCTTATTTTCTTTAATTTTTGTTTTACAATTAAAGTTCAAAAAAAATTTTTTTCAGACTTACATTATTATTACTACAATTACCATCCTCATTTAAATATTCATTTGACAAATCGTTTAAAGGAACAACGGAATCAGATTGAATGCCAGAAGTTAAAAAGATGATAGAAATAATAAATATTATTTTGGACAAAAGTTGTAAATAAATCATTTGAATTTTAAATAAATTTTGGGTGAAAGAAGGAAAATTAATAAATATTTTTAGTAAATCTAATAAAAATAATAAATTAAAAATTAAATTAAAAATTAAAAAAAATATATATAAAAATTAATGAAGACAATTAGAGAAGAAATCTTTCCATTCGTTTTACTCAAAAGACGGAAATGTTTCAATACCCAAGGGTTTCACAAAAACAAATATAAAAAGCTTCAAGAAAAGTTTGAGGCAAGATTTATAACAAGGAATAAAGATTGGATAGAGGATATATTTTAAAGATATTGGACAGAAAAAAAAGAAAAAAATTTATTTTTTAATTTTTGGTTCTCCCGTATTAATTAATCCTTTTAATTCCTTTTAAATGTGTTAAAATAATATATAAATTAATAGCTAAATATTATGTTAAATTATCAAATCACAAAGAATTTAGAATTTTTATTATGAAGAAAGAAAGACTTGAATTAAAAATAAATATTTTTATAACCTAAATATTAATTATTAATTAACCAAAATTATTTTTAATTGCGGGAACAGTTGCCTATTTTTATTTATTTTTTATGTGTTTTGCTTCTGTTCTGATCAGAAAAAAAATATTTTATGTTCTGGGAAATACTAACTGATAAAATTATTTTTAAATAAGGAGGGAATGTAGCAGATAAATAAAAGTAAAAAATAAGAGTTTTTGGCATATTTATGTAAATAAATAAATGAACACATCTGTGAAAAAAAGATTAGTATATTAAATGTATGTAGAAGTACTTAAAGGGAAAGTTGAAAGAAATCAAAAATTAAAGAAAAACAAAAGAAAAATGCCGACAGAAGAACAGAAATTGAAAGAAAAATATTTATTAAAAAATAAATATTTAGATAAAGAATAACACCAAAAATTGAATAAATAAAAATGTTAAAATTAATTTTATAATACATACCAGGGTTGCCGCCCGAAACCCCGATACCCGAAAAGAAAATTTTCCAACCCGAACCCGAAGATTTTTTGTACCCGCGGCAACACTGATACATAATTAAATGTTGTAATTTTAAAAATAGAAAATTAATTCAGAAAAAACCGAAAAATGTCAACCAAATTTAAAAATCAAATTAATAAGCCTTTAATTAAAATAATTTCAAGTATTAAAATATTTTCTTGAGAATTTAATAATTAAAAATTAATTCTTTATTTTTAATTAAAATATAAATTAAAAACAAAAGTTTTGTTTTTAACTTTTCAAATAAATTTATTTATTGTCTGTTCACTAAACCACAGCTGCAATTATTGCTATAATAGTAATCTGCCCCGCCTTTTTTACAATAAAAAATATTTTTGCCAAAGTGAAGGGTGGATGGATGTTTTTAGAAAAAAAAGAGAAAAAATTAACACAATTACTCACATATTTTTATATTAAAGCTTTTTTTTGCTTTATTCACGCTCTTCTCTTTTCCCTATATATTTTTGTAGTGATTGAATCAGTGAAAGGCCTGCCTGCCTTTTTTAAGCTTAATTCTGTCCATTTTGTCGGAAAAACAAAAAAAAAATTAAAAGAGATGAAAGAATAAAAAAATAAAAATAGAATTACCCTCCCCCCTATCTCCCTTTATAAAAGTAGGTAAAAAATTGTGTGTAAAATTGTTTTTAAATAAATATTCTCTAATCAAATGAAAGGATCGGGGACAAATCGGTTAAAAAATAGTTTGACCAAACCATTGAGAATATAAATAAACGAATTTTTACAAAAAAAAATTTTGTTGTGTTAATGCAAATTAAAAAAATAAAAAGGGGAAGAGGATTTTTATAGTTAGAGAATAAAAAAAGTATTTTTGCCAGAACATTGACAACCGACTTTAATTAAAATAAGATAAATGGTAAAGTAAAAATGTTGGGGAAAATAAAAAAATATTTTTAAGTTTAAAACCTAGCAGAATGATTGAATATTATTTCTAAAACACTCTGTGTGGTAGTAACATTTATAAAAACAAGTCTCACTCTAAAAAATACTGTAAGGATAAGTTTAAAAAATTTATTTCTAAAAACGAAAAAAAAATAAAAATTTATTATTTAAATTAACAAAAAATATAAACAAAATAATTTCTAATTAAATTGTGCAAAATTCTTCAAGAATGTGTCTAGCCATTATACGATTACCGGCTGATTCATAAATTAATGAGAGATTATATGATGCTTGCCGCCTCAAATCATATCTAAAAAATTATCTTTCTTTATAAAAATGTAAGAAAAGAGGGTGAATGCGATAAAAGAAAATTCAATCTAAAACATCTAAAAATCCACTAAAATAGTGCCGTAAAGCTTAGTGTTAAGATTTAATTATGAAATTATTATAAAACCCACAAATATAAGATTACCCAAAAAATTCATTTTTAAATTTTCTAAAACTCATTCAAACAACATAAATATTAAACACACTCACTTCATTGCCAATTCTTCTCTTCTTTCTCCATGCGGGCCCTCTGTCAAGATCATTGGTGTTGGACATTCATATAAAACTCTTTCATAGCATCGAATTGCATTTGATAAAATGCCCATTTGATGAAAAAGTCTTCCCATATTATATTCAATTTCTTGAGAAAGAAAAGGCGAACGAAGATTTGAATATTTGCTCATAAAAGCTAAGGCCTAGAATTTTTTAAAATTTTTTTTGAAATTTTTTTGAAAGTCACCCTAAGTCCAACTACATGTCGTGAAGAAATGTCCTTCTTACAAGAAATATGAGCAAAAGCTAAAGCAATCAAAAAAGCCAATAAAGGATTGTCTTGATGCTTTAACCAAACCATAAAATACTCGCCTAAAAGATTAATTTTAAAAAAATAAAAATAATTTTCGAACCAAGAGCGTGTCTATAAGAGCCAGTAACCATTGAATTATTCCCAGAAATAATATGTAAAGAATCGCAATCAGGTAATTTGACTAGTTGTCGCATAATAAAACGGTGATAGTTGACACCTTCAAAAGAATAATTATAATAACAATAACTTTTAAAAAATTCCCCTTACTTTGATGTTGGCAAAGGATAAAATTCATTGCTGCATAAACATAATTTAAATTTTCTGTTGGAAGATGGGATTGTGGAAGTAATGCTTGTGCTGAAGCAGATTCGGTTGATTCTCGACCTTTTGTAATTCTTGGCTTTAAAATTACGAAATTAAAAAAAAAATATTTTTTTAAATTATTTACCAAAGTAAAAGTCATATAAAAACGCAAAAAATCAAAAGCTAAAGTATAATCTCTAGCTTTAATACTGGCAAAGAATAATAGAGAAGTAAACATTTTTGAGCTGAAAATTAAAAATAAATTTCCAAAAATTAATTTAAAATACTTTAAACTAGCAATTTTTGGTTGGACAAAAGCATAACAAACAACACAAAGCATTTCTTCATATTCACCAGCAAGATAAAGAGTTTCGGCAAGTTTAAATGCATAATCGTGTAACTTAAAATCACAAAAAAATATAAAAGGAAATAATGAAATAAGGTCAAAAATTAATGAAAATTAGTAGGTTAAACAGGATAGAAAGTGAAAATATTATAAAACAATTTTTGAAGTTTCCAAAAATTTTATTAACCGCTTCAGGTCCGTAAACAAAGAGGGCGGGGGACCCCCCGAAGAAAAATTCAGGTTACGGACCTGAACCGCTTCTCTAAAACGGTATCACGACTTTTGCGCCGAGAACATTTGCGCCGCGACTTTTGCGCCGCGACTTATGCGCCGGGCGACCTTTGCGCCGCGACTTTTGCGCCGCGTCTTATGCGCCGGGCGACTTGTGCGCCGCGACTTTTGCGCCGGGCGACTTTTGCGCCGCGACATTTGCGCCGCCATAATTTAAAAAAATAATATCCACAGTCGGACCTAATTATGGTGTACTCCTTAAAAATGATATACAGGAGCTGAAGGAATTTCAGGAAGCCAATATTTCGGGAAGTACAATAGCCCCCTCTAATAAACCGACCCCCTAGAGGGGTCATCTTTAAAGAACTTGACTTTTTCAAATCAGAATATTTGGTCTGCTACCCCTATTCAGACATGATTTTCTGCCAAAAGAGAGTGCGCTATAGTGTAGGGTTGTCGGATCCAGATATTCGGATCTGAAAAAGCCGGATAGCCAAATTTTAGGTCGGATATCGGATCCGGATCTTGATATCCGAAAATCTCCAAATATCCTACATCTTCTATAGTGAGGTCCGGCTGTAGTTTGTAATAATTATTAATGATAGTGGCGGCGCAAAAGTCGTCCGGCGCAAAAGTCGCGGCGCAAACGTCGCCCGGCGCAAAAGTCGCGGCGCAAAAGTCCCCCGGCGCAAAAGTCGCTCGGCGCATAAGTCGCGGCGCAAAAGTCGCGGCGCATAAGTCGCGGCGCAAATGTTCTCGGCGCAAAAGTCACGGAACCCTCTAAAACAAATATTAAATGTCTAAAGCGCTACAATTGATAAAAAATAAAAAATATTAACCAAGAACTCAAACTCTCAGACAAAAATCCCTATTTTTATTGCCTCAGTTCAGAAAAATTAACTATTTCAGGATAAAATTTTAACCTCATGAGGGCCCAAATTATCCATTGGTCTATGATTTGCGATAGCAATAGCGCCCAGTCTTTTAACCATTCTTTCCAAAGGACTTCCTCTAATTGTATCCATAGCACATCTAGTTAAACTCATATGTAGAATTTTAACTAAAAAATAATTATTCATCAAATTATATTTTTAAGTTCAACCAGTTTTTCTTCTTCCTTTTTTTATTAATTCATCACCAGATAAATGAACATCATAAAAATGTGGAACAAGTAAAAGTCGAAGTGTAGTAATATATTGAAGTGTTTTATTTTGTGCTAAAAGTACTTCTGCCTGCCTAATTAATAAACGCTCTTCCTAAATTTAAAATAATTTTTTTTTAATTTAAGTTATGGTTATTTTTCAGATTCCCTTATTTTAACAAACCCTTCAAAATAAAAAAATCAACTTTCAATTATAAAAATACTCTCACACCTTAACACCTAAATTTAGTTTCTTAAAGATATATAATTACTGGAAGTTGAGAACAAGAATCCAAATTTAAATCTTTCAGCGTCTCCAATGCCAAATCACTCTGTCCCATTTGTTGAAGAATTGTTGATAAATTTATACACGCATCAATATGTCCAGGTTGTAAAATTATAACTTTCTCATAAGCATTCTTTGCATCTTCAAAATTATCTAACAACTAAATATTAAAAACAGATATAATTTTTTATTAAAATAAAAAAGAACCCCGAAACAATAAAATTAAAAATAGTCAGATTTCGCTTAAATTTTTATCATTTCTTTACCAGTCCAATTTAAAACATAATGTGGTTCAGAAAAATTATCCTTACATCAGAACAATAAACGACAAATAAACCTGTTGAAAATAACCAAATAAAAACCAAGCATCAGCATTTTCTTTAAATTCAGGCTTTTTATTCCAAAGTTTGTCAATAAATCCAACAGCCATTCCAACTTGATCCACAGCATGTAATGACCTCGCAATTTCTAAATAAGCATTATCTTCATTCTGTCCAAAGGGTCGTTCCAAAAGTAAATCAATTAAATCAGAATTAAAATGGAAGAGATTTAAATGAATAAAACAAATAATTAGATGAGTGATGAATATATTTGATAAAGCTGGATCTATACGCCAACGAATATTGCCAACAGGAGGGAATGGTTCAAGCATATAACCAGCATTTGTTATTTTTATCTAAAAAGATTGTAAATATTTTAATATAATTTTCAAGAAAAATTTAAAGGAAAGTAAAAATTTGATAGTTAAATTATTTTTCGAAATAAAATATATTTGCGGAGAAAAGTCCGTCCGCAAATACTGAGTAATCGAAATTAAGAAATATTATGCAGTTATAGTTAAGAGTTAATATTTTGACACTGGTACGATAGCTCCCTCGGGAGTAGACCAACTTAACGCAGAGCTATAACTTCGTTCAGAATTGTCGAATCCGGGACACCATTTTGAACGAAGTTATAGCTCTGCGGTAAGTTGGGCTCGCAATAAGTTGGAGTGTACCCATCTCACTCTCATTTCTTTTTCACAACTATGAGAGTGAATCATTTCAAAGGTCAGATATTACAATTCATAATTCTATCAGAAAAATATTAATACATACATCAATTGCTGGAGAATTATCTTCACCAATAGCTTGAATTAAATTTTGGTGAAGAGCAAGTATGGACTTTGCAGAATCCTCAAAACGTTCATTATTCATCCACATTCTAAATTTATTTAAAAATCAAAAAATCAATTCAAAATAAACCCTAATAAAGCCAAATGTTCAAAATCTATAGAACGACCAAATTCTCTACTTCGGAGAATAAAAGTTTCCAACGCTTCTGTTGCCTTCTCCTCATCTTTTAACGTGCAAAAATAGTCAGCAGCCTTAAAAAAATAAATTTAAAAAATAATTTTAAATTAAAAACTGTTTTAATAAGATTATCAATCCAAGCAAAATTTATTTGAGAATTTTGACAATTAATAGACTGTGCTGCTTGAAGTCTTGTTTTCATTGCTAATTCAATGTCACCAATTGAATCGAGTATTTGAATCCTTTTCTCATAATAAAGCCAATTCCCTTGGTCTTTTTTAATGGCTAAAAAACAAAAAAACATAAAAATATTTGGAACGAAAAATATGCGGGTCAAGAAAAGAAAGCCCAAAAAATTCATTTTTCCTTAGTTAGATAATTTTAGTGGGTACACCATAAGGTACCGCTGCGCTACAACTTCGTTCAAAGTGATCGAATCCGGGATGCCCTGGCATGATTCGATGCACCTCAATGGAACTATACCAAGGCGTCCCGGATTCGACAATTCTTAACAAAGTTAAAGCTCTGCGGTACCTTGGGCTTGAGGTACCTTGGCCTGTTCCCAATTTTAGTTGTCTGGTTAAAATAAATGGTAAAGTCCTGTGTGAAAATATTAAACCTTTAGCTAAACAAGCAATAGCCAACTCAAGTCTATTAAATGAACGTGATAATTCTGCAATATCATCCCATTCTACAGCTGTTGTTTTGTCAGTTAATAATGCCGCTAATAGTTTGAATTCAAAACTTTTTTCGGGTTGATTTTGTTCAGCAAAAATATCAGCAATTTCCTTGTAAGTTTGGACATGATATGGGGCTATACGTATCGCCTTTTTAATTAAATAATTTCACTAAAACAATTTTTAGTTACCTCAAAGAGATAAGACATTGCTTGTTTTGTCCGACCACGAGCCTGTTCTAAATTTGCCTGGCCCAATAAACTATCAAGTGTTCTACAAAAATATTTTTAAGAAAAATTGAAAATAAAATATTTAAATTATACGCGTTCACGCCGACTTGTTTCCGCCCAACCTGCCGTCCTTTTTTCGGTCTTTGTGATAAAGATGCCGATTGCTCATCAAATTCCAAAGTGTTAAAAGATGTAGAAGCTGTGGAAGAGAAATTGGTAGAATTAGTCTGAAAATGACTTGAATTTATATAAAGGAAAGCAATTAAATAATTCCTTGCTCAAAGCTGTAAATTCGCCAGATTCTATATCAACATTAATTCGGTCACGAACAACATCCCAAACTGCTTCTTCTTCGTCAATGTCCATTAATTAGTGTTAAATTAAATAGTGAATTCTTAAAAGAGGTAAAAAATTAAAAGAAAAGGATGAAAATAATAACGACCTTCTGTTATGAAGCAAACGTATCATTTGCATTTTGTCACATTGGTATTTTGTCCGAATGCTTTTGTAGAATTTATTTAGAGAAAATGAGTGAAGAAAAATATAACGTTACAGAGAATAAAATTAATGCAATAAAGTGTATTAAAAAAGCAAATAGAGAGATATAGAAAAAGAAATAGTGTGACTTATTTCTATCTAAAATAAAGTCTGCGCACAACCTAGTGAAAATATTTAAAATTAAAAACAATATTATTTTGCCTCAACATAAACTTATTAGCCTTGCGCTCGGGCAGTACAGCGTCCAATGAGGCCTAGCCGAGGAGCTGTTATTGCTGATTGAAAACTTATACCAATTGCCCGCCTTGGCCTGCGAAAGCAGTGCCTTGTGCAATTTTTGGACGCCCGAAAGGGCAAAAAATCGAGCTGGATGTGTTTGAACAATAAAAACATTTTCAGTGCAATGTATTTAATGTCTACTTGTTATAGATTTTTGGAAATCACGTTTTTTAAAAATAATGAATTTTTAAAGATAATTGAAATCTCGATATAATCTCAAGGCATGTCCCAGAAATTGAAAAACATTTTTAGAAAACTTTCCGGAGCTGAGTCCCGTTAATCCTTGCATTATATAGCAGGATTATCTTTTTTACTCCCAGTATTAAAACATATTTTGCCTGCAACAACCATTTATTAAAAACAATTAATGAAAATGTTCATAAATAATATTTAGAATATCAAAATTAATTTTTTTCTTGGATTAACGTTTCTTATAAAGGCACGGATCTAATTGAAGACCTAACGGTCGTTTATTCACAAATCTGCCAATCTTTTGAAGAGTTAATGCAGTAAAGTATTTACCGTCTAATTCTTTCTGAAAATGTGTTTAATGTCAATAAAATTCTAAAATTGTAAAAATTACCTTTCTCTTTAATTGAAAACCCATTTTTCCAAGTGCATCAATGAATTTTTTAATATTTTTGAATCGGCTAGTAACTTCAACAATTTTCACTTTCCCGCTGAAAATTTTCGAATTTATTTGAAAAATACATAAAAATTTATTCACTCACTTCATTTTTAAAACTCTGTGCGCTTCACGAAAAAAATGAGCCAAATTTGTTCCCATTAAAGACAAACAATAAACGCAAACATCAACAGATTCCCTAGCCAAAGGAATTTTTGCCATATCAGCAACAACAACCCTTTCATTTAAAGAAACCAAATCAAAAGAATGCACCTTATATTTTGAACCTAAACGTTCTGCTAATTCTGCCTCACCACATCCCAAATCAGCAATAACACTACCAGGAGGAAGTGAAGAAAGGTCGAGAAGTATTGAATTTAATGGATTGAACGGCCATTTTTTTAGCTAAATTTAAAGAGAATTTAAAAGTTTTTAAAGTCATTTTTGCAAGCAACTTAATATCTGATCGAATCAACCTTAATTAATCTTCAAACTCTTTTTTAATTTAATAACCTGCTGTTTATATCCTCTGTGATAAGCTTCAAATACATTCGGATCTTCCTTAAAGAGTTGAACAGCACTTGTTGAAGGATGTGTATAAAGTTGTTCATTGACATAACGAAAGCGAGCAGCATCCAAACGAGAATCTGGACTTTTAGAAGTTTGCAATTTTTCTTTCGCTTCCTGTTCTTTGTTGTTATTTGAATCAAGACATTTTGCGAGAATTCTGTTTTTGTCTCTAAGTCGTTTTTTTCGACTTCTTTTACTCTTTTTTCTTGGTTGTGATGGTTCTTCTGATTGAGAATTGTCTTCTGAGGAACCTGAATTTTTGTTTAAAACAGGATAAAAACATTTGTTTGCAAAACTGCTTAAACGCCATTTTCGTCCTTACGAGTTAGAACTAGAGTACGTACGAGTCGGGTCGAGTACGAGTATACCCGACTCGATCTCTCGACTTTTTTACAACTTTACTCGTACTCGATACTCGAGGTCTTTGTACTCGGCATTACTCGTACTCGAAAACTTGGCTCTATCTGAAAGGAGTGCCTGGTTGACTTTTTTCCTTCTTTTTTTAGAATGGCCTTTTTTCCTTTCCTTTTTTTCAACTTCTTTAAGATCGTGTGTGAAGGGCAAAACAAGGAATTCCAAAATACGGAACAGAAAGCACGGTCTGGTCCGTGTTTTGTCGTTCAATGTCGTGCCTGGTCCGTGTTTTACCGTGCCACGATTAAGATCACCAACATTTGTAATTTTCGAAGCCATTTTAGGTAAAACAACCAGAATTTTTTTGAAAAATAAACATAGAATGTATGAAAAGTTATACAAAATCAGCAAAAAATGGAAAAAATTAATCCTTTTACACATTTTTACCTTACGAAAAAATATCAAATATAAAGGAAAATAGACCATTCCTAGGCAGTCTGGGTGGGGGCTAACTCAAGGAATACCAACTCAAGGAACAGACAAATCAAGGAACGACAAGTCAAGGAAAAGACAAGTCAAGGAACGACCATTTCATGGAACATACCAACTCAAGGAATAGACAAGTCAAGGAAAAGACAGGTCAAGGAACGACAAACTCAAGGAATGACCAACTCAAGGAATATTTTAAAAATCAGAATACCAGAATTTTTCTGAATTTTTTTTTAAATTCTGTTTTTCAAAGTGTTCTAATTTGTTTTTAAATTCTCATTTTCTAAAAATATTCATATTTTTTAAAAAAATTCGATTTTTAAAATATTCCTTGAGTTGGTCGTTCCTTGACCTGTCTTTTCCTTGACTTGTCCGTTCCTTGAGTTGGTATGTTCCTTGAGTTGGTCGTTCCTTGATTTGTCTTTTCCTTGACTTGTCGTTCCTTGATTTGTCGTTCCTTGACTTGTCCGTTCCTTGAGTTAGCCCGACACGGGCAGTCTAAGGAAATGAGGAAAAAAAACTCAACCAGGCACTCCTTTCAGATACGGTCGAAAACTTCATACTCGGGTAACTCGAGTATTTTTATGTCTCTATCTGCGGCGCAAAATGGAAGATTTTTGGCTTAAGGATTCCAAATTTCCCAAAATTTTCGCCTGCGGCGCTGAAAAAGTAAGAAATTTTGCTCCTTGACATTCCAAAATTCTCAAAATTTTCGCCTGCGGCACTGAAAAGGAAGACTTATGTGTATATCTGAAGATTTCAATGGACTTGGGTGGATTCTAGTGATAGCCGGACATTCCAAGGGAAGGATCTGGCCTTCCTGAACTTGGGTGTTCCTACTTGGCCATTAGTAATTTTGGAAATTTCTGAAGGCCAAACAGATGAATAGAGACAAGAGGATAGAGAAACGGTAACAGAGGGATAGAGAAACCCACAATATTTCAATTAATCTTCCGAATTTCCCAGATTTTGCTCTTAATACACCCAAATCCCATGATAATCAGCCCAAATCCCGCTTAATCCCTTTTTATCCATCTCACTCTCGGTTATCACTTATATTTGCATAACCTACACAAATCTCCCGAAATAATATTATCCATTCATTTTTCACCCGGAGCCAGCATTGATCATGGGCGTATCATGGAATTTCGACGGATTATGAGGGATATAGGCGGATTAAGAAAATAAATGGGATTTGGATGATGATCCCATGCATCACTGTCAACAAATGCTCAATACCCAGCACTGATAATGAGTAAAAGTATTGTTTTTGTTAAAATTATTTTAGAACACTGTTTTATAAAAATTACTCGTTTTACCCGTTTTACTCGTACTCGGCCTAAAAATTGAAACTCGTACTCGTACCCGGACTTTTCATACTCGGCTTTACTCGTACTCGGGTTTTTCCAAATTACTCGGACTCGGACGCACTCTAGTTAGAACCAACCCCCAACCCCGTTTCATCCCTAACCAGATTCACTAAATTATTCCAAACCTTCTTGTTCTAAAGTATCATCACCAGAGAGTTCAGACGCTTGTGCGCTCAATCGTTCTCGTTTTGCTTTGCGACGAACTGCTTGTCTCCATGGCCGTTTCCTCTTTTTGGTCCCAGAAGTAACCGAACTGACATCTATAGCTGGTTTTTGTATAACATCTTTTGATAATTTTTTTGGCAATGCAGATTTATCTTTTTGGGTACTTTTAGAACTGACTGGATCTTCATTGCCTGATTTCTTTAAATTAGATACTTTGCTTGAATTTGATGTTGAATTATTTATTTTAGAACGTTTTAATTTCATCTTGAATAATAATTTTTTAAAGATGAAGAGAAAATAAATAATCTGTCAAACAAGAATTTTTTAAAATGACTACATTCAAGCCAGGCTACCTAAAAACAAACCAAAAAATCAGCTTTGGAAAATTAAGATATAAACTGAATCTACTCATCAGATCAAAAAATCTAATTACTATTGAAAGATTTTCATTTATAATCAACAAATTTAAATTATATAACAAAGAATCCTTTTCATACTAAAAATAAAATCAACGTCTGTCTGTCTTTCCAGTACTTCTCTTTCCACTAAACAAATGCTTCGGTTTAAGGTCATAAACATGACGATCTCCTTCTCCTTTTCTTGCCGCTCTACCAAGTTTTTTAAGTCCACCTCTTGCCAATTTCCTTGCTTTAATACGAATCTTAAAAAATATTCTCATTAAAAAACTTTTTCAATTCTTCAAACCTTTCTATCTGGAAGTCCCTTAACATCTCTTGGCGTTCGTTCAGGTACAGGAACAGAAGAAGATCTCCCAACACGAATTTTCTTTCCTCCAACATGTTCTCTTTGCTGTTCAGTATTCAAATTCTTCATTCTTTTTGAATCAATATTAACTCCCAAATCACCCAATTCTTTTTCCAATCTAGACATACTTCTTTCACGCTTTCTTCCAGCGGTTCTTGGAATCTTTGGTTGATTCACACCTTTATTAAATTGTGATTCCATTCGACGAAGTTTTTCTTTTTCTGTTATTTGTTCAGCCAAGGAAAGTAAACGTTTTGTTTCATCATCATCTTCATCCATATCAGCATCATAAAATCCTGCTTGTTCACGACGCTTTTCTTCCTCCAAAAGTTTTTTGAGTTTCTATAAATGAAAATTGCTTAAATTATGAGATCAAATTAAAAATTCAATTATTTATTTTATTTTAGTGAGGGTAGTGAACAACAAAATTTTTTTGGGCCTAACAAAGCCAATAAACCCCAAACATTTTTATTTTAATATCATAAAGTATTAAAAACCTCAACAACTTGTGGATCAACAAAATCAGCAATGTTGTGTCCCTCCCAAATCTCTGGAATTTTGTCATATTTTTCGTCTTCATTTTTCAACAAATAATGCTTTTTTAAATCTAATTTATAATTTCTTCCTTGTTCCAACTCTAATTCCCTTTCCAATTTTCGCTTTGGTTTTTCATCGTCCATTGCATCTTCTACTAAATCCATTGCTGCTCGCTTCTTCAAAACTCCTTCAGGAATAAATGGCGCACGATTTTTGTTATCACGAGGCTCTGGATATGCAACAAATAAACGGCCAAGCACATGCCCATCTCCAGTTGCTTCTTTACCTTTGGCTTGAAGTTTTCTTTCAATACGCTGGGCTAATAAAGCATCACAAGCCTAAAATTTGGGAAATTTCTAAAAACTTTCTTCCTATCGGGATAAACTAGAACCAAAGAAAAGAGTAAAGGAGGCTAGGTCGAAGAGTAATCCGTTTTTAAAACGCCGATAATTCACAACTTCAAAAAATAGACCTTATCTCGCAATTCAATAACACCCTCTTCAGTTAATGTGCTCAATTCAACAATTGGAATGTTGTCATCCTCAAATTTCTTGAAAAGTGCTTCCGTTTCAGCAGGCAAATCTTTTCGACGAAGAACATCAATTTTATTAAGTCCAACAAAAACAGGCTTATTAGCGAATAGAGGCTGAATACTCTCAAAAAGTTTTATTTGTTGTTCTAAAAATTACAAAAATATATAAGGATGATAAACAGTATTAGAATAAAAATACTAAAACTGATTTAGTGTTTTGATAAAAAAAATGAAATTTAAGATGGAATTATGTGATTTTTTGTATTTCACATAAAATGACAGGCAAAAAAGTTCGAAGTAAAATTAAGAAAAAATTACCAATTGAATGGTCACAAAGTTCACTAATATCCATTATATAAAGAATAGAAGCTTTTAAATGGCCAAGAGCTGTAACCGCTTGCATTTCAATTGTATTTCTCTGCTCAAGCGGGTGGTCCAAAATACCTGGCGTGTCAATTACCTCAAAATAGTAGAATGGAAAGTTAAAAAGTTAAGAAAATACCTGCCACCGCAAATAACGATAATCCATATGACCAACATATAGAGACTTGGTGGTAAAAGCATATGGCTGTACTTCAACATCGGCACGAGTAACTTTATTAATAAATGAAGATTTGCCAACATTTGGAAAACCACAAAGAATCAATGTTCTGAAAAAACATGAATATTTTTAAAACTTTTTAAAGATTTTTTATTCCCTTGTGTTATCATATTGAAGCAGTTATAAAGAGTAGATGACGATAAAAGGAAAAATTAATGAGAAATTTGTTAATATATGGACAAATGTTAAAATTTTTCGTTTAAACTTTGTTGCCGATATTTTTTGAGAGGAAAAACCCGAAGAACATGGAAAGTTTCGAGAACATTTTGTTCTTAATTTTCCTCTAGATAATCCCTTTAGTTTTAAAAATAAAAACCTCGTATTTGGATCAATGCTGGGCAAACGACTTAAATGCTGGCGAACTTGTTCCAAATATTCAAAACTTGATTTCTGTCTATTCAAAATCTTAACCATACGTCCAAGAGCAGCTCTTTTAAGCGTTTTACATCGATAAAGAGAATCAGCATATTTTAGTAATCTAACATATTCTCTGGCAACCCCATCAATTAAATGCCTTGCTGTATTCATTTGGCCCAAAGCTATTTTGTAGTGATCTCTATCATAAAGAATATTCATTAAATCAGCATAAAATGGATGAACATCTTCCATTTTCGGGAATTCCGTCAAAATCATAGTTAATTTATCATGAAGTGTCTGTTGAAGAAATTTAACTTTTCTAGCATAAAAAGCCCTTATTCTGCTAATCTGCCAATGTCTTCGAACAACTGTTGGAGTTTTACGTTGAGTTTTTGAAAGAACAACATCTTTCAAATTCTAAATTTAATTATTAAATTTAATTAAAATAAAAATAAAAACAAACCACAGATGTTGGAACAACTGTAATCTTTTTGAAATTGTAAAGTGATGTAGACATTTTACAAAAATTAAATCCTGAAAAAGAAAAACAATCACAAGTTAATCAAAAAAATCAGTTAACAATAAACACGGAAAAATAAACACCGAATTTTTTTCAAATTCATTGACGAAAAGTACGTTGACGAAAAGTCCGTTGACGGAAATTCTACTGACGAAAAGTCGGCCACCAAAATAAACGCAAAGACGATGTCGAACGGTCTACCGATGTTGTACGACAAATGGACAGTAAACAATTGGGCATTGAGACAAAATGGCACTTGTTTTATTTTGTAAATATTTTTATCTATGGGTTATTAATTTTATTTTACTAGATAATTTCCACTATAAAAACGAATGCTGAAACTTCTACACAACTTCAATCTTTTGATTTTGTGCTTCAACCTTTCTCTTCTTATCGTCAACAATCGGCCGATGCAATTTTGCAATGCTACATAATTTGGATCTTCAACTGTTGATCATCGTGATTATTTTGATCTTTTTCTGCATCGTTTGCTGCCTTGTACTATGTGAATTATATTACAAAAGGCGAAGAATGAAGTGGCGTGCAGCAGCAGTTTCCAGTTCTGAGATATTTGTAACCTCTGGGCAACAACAAAAAACAAGGTAATTTTCTGATCCTCTAAATTTTTTGGAATAATTTTTAATATTAGGAGTGCCACTCGTCTGCTTGGCGTTCAAAACTCTGGAAATTCTGCCTTAAGTGCTGGTGTCTCTTCATCATTAACCAAGTTGGGAGTATTCTGGCCTAGAAAAAACAATTTATCCGCTGTTGAAAATGAAGAAGAAAGTTTAACACGGTTATAAACATTAATTATATTATTTGTGTGTTTATTTTATCTTTTGTTTCTTTCATTTTTGTTATAATTTATACATATTTAACGTTCGATCCCCGTTCCTCGGGGCAGGGAATTACCCACATTTTGACCATAATTTTCTTCGTAACCCACAAAATTTTCGCCGGCGGCGTTAATAAGAGGAAGCCCTGAAAGGTGAAGCCCAGACCGACCCTAGATTGGATTTGATCCTATTTACTAAATTTACTAATTCCCTCAGCAACTAATTCCTAAAATTAAAAAAGAAACATTAAAATCAAAAAGGATTAGAAAACATTTCCGGATTTTAAATTGCATGAACCCTACCAATATATTTTAAGCACCCACTCATACTTAAAAAGAATAATTTCAGAATTTTTTTTAAAAATTTATAAATTTACACCCTTCAACCCGAAAAAATAAATAATAAATTCCCTCTCAATTCTCATAATTTTATACTGGAAATTTGAATTTATTTATGAAAAATGATTAAAAATACCTTTAGCAAATTGTCCAATGATTTTTCATAGGACGCTTCTCCCAACATTTTATCGAGTTTACTATAATTTTTTGCACAGCAGAGCACTTTAAGTAGTCCTCTTACAAACCCTTTTTGGAAAGTTAATAAATTGCTGACGTGAAAATATAGAAGGCCACGGATAAGAGGTACATCCTGATGCGAACTTTGCAACATTTAAAGATCGGAAAATATCGGCGAACTTTGCAACATTTTGGATATTTTCCGATCTTGAAATGTTGCAAAGTTCGCATCAGGATGTACCTCTTATCCGTGGCCTTCTATATTTTCACGTCAGCAATTTATCAACTTTCCAAAAAGGATTTGTAAGAGGACTACTTAAAGTGCTCTGCTGTGCAAAAAATTATAGTAAACTCGATAAAATGTTAGGAGAAGCGTCCTATGAAAAATCATTGGACAATTTGCTAAAGGTATTTTTAATCATTTTTCATAAATAAATTCAAATTTCCAGTATAAAATTATGGGAATTGAGAGGGAATTTATTATTTATTTTTTCGGGTTGAAGGGTGTAAATTTATAAATTTTTAAAAAAATTCTGAAATTATTCTTTTTTAGTATGAGTGGGTGCTTAACCTATATTGGTAGGGTTCATACAATTTAAAATCCGGAAAAATGTTTTCTAATCCTTTTTGATTTTGATGTTTTTTTAATTTTAGGAATTAGTTGTTGAGTGAATTGAACAATTTAGGATAGGATGGGGCTTCACCTATTATATCAGGACTTCCTCATATTAACGCCGCAGGCGAAAATTTTGTGGGTTCCGAAGAAAATTATGGTCAAAATGTGGGTAATTCCCTGCCCCGGGGATTGAACGTTAAATATATTTATATAACTGCTACTTTTTATTTTTTGCTCCACTATTTATTAAATTGAACTTTCAATAAAATTTTTATTTGGAATCTCTTAGTAATTGGTTGTTTTTTATCAATCTTTTATTATCAATATTTTAACTTATAAAATGTCTACATACAGATATTTTAATATTTATTGTTTGAGTAATCAATGTCTCAATCACTTGCGGAACTTGGTTGGCGAACCTTCAATTTCTTCACGTTGACACCTGCTCGTGATCCCAGTGACCCATCTAAAAAAGCTACATTTCTTCAAGTTTTTTCCTTTTTTACCATTATTATATTTTAAATTTGTCTAGGGAATTGATATTCTTTGTTGGGCACCAGGAAATGGTTATGTTATTTTTGGCGAGCCAAAAGGAGCTGTATTTCAATTGGAAAAAAGTTTAGATATTCGATTTTTTAAAGTTTTCAAACAACGACTTATTCATTTTGCATTGGCAAAGAATTTACTTGTTGCTATTGGAGTAATTGAAAATTTTATTTTTAGATAAAAAAATATTTTTAAATAGGATGATGCAGACGATCTTTCCACATTTTCTCCAACTTCAAGTTCTTCACAAGGAATGCCAGTTTTGAAGATTTGGGATTTAAGTCAATGGAATGAAACTGTTGCCCCTAAATGTAAACATACTTTTCCTTTGAATTTGGGCAGGAAAGTAGATGCAAGCAAAGCTTCCGTTGTAGCTGTTAGTCAAAATTTATCAATTTTGGTTGTTGGTAATTTAAAAATTTTTTCTAAAATTTTCTTTCAAATTTAAAGGTCTCTCAAATTCTTCCCTTTTTTATGCTTTTGGTGATTGGCAGAAAGACCGACCAAAATTTCGTTCACTTCGAGATGGATCAAATATTTTAAAAAGTGGCCATCTAGTTGGAATAGCTGTAGCATCAATTAGAGATCGTACAATCATTACGTGTATAACTGAGAAGTCTTTAAATTCGTATATTTTGGGAATTGATGGGAATTTACTTCAAACAGTAGAGTTTTTAAATTTTAACTAAATTTAATAAAAATTTTAGGCCATTCACGATGCTGAAGGCTGTGAACGAAATTGTTGGTTCTTTTCTCCTTCAAATAATCAATTGCTTGTTTCGAATAGAGATGTAGGTTTTTTAAATTATTTTTCAGTTGTACTTGATTGGAATTTTGGTTTAATTTAATTTGGGGGGTTGGTGATCTATTTTTTATTTTCCTTAATTTGCCTTGAATATAAATCGAGACATTATATCCCACTTCAATTTTTGAATTAATTTTCAAATTTTTTTGGATAAATTGATTAAAATAAGTAACTTAGATATCTTTTATTAACTTATCTTCCCCTTTAGATTCAAAATTTTGTTATTTTTATATTTACCAACTTTTGAAATTTATTTAAGATGGTCTATTTTTACAATTTGGAAGATTGTTTAGAAATGGGTGCCGAAAATGGAAGATGTCATGCATTAAGCCGAGGTAAAGATAAAATTCAACTTTTACAACGTGAAGGACTTGTTGCATTACTTACTGAACAAGATGCACATATCCAGTTTGTTAATAATTTTACTTGAAAATATTTTTTAAATTAATTTTCAGATCTAAAGGAAATTCAAAAATGACTTTATTAAATATTTATGATATTGAGCAACGTTATATTGCTTTCTTTTGTTCAATGCCTTCCCCTTGCCATCTATTTTTGTTGGACACCGACATTTATTTATTGAATTCTGAAGGAGTTTTGTGTAAATTAGTTGAGGAAAACTTGAACACAAAATTGGAAATTCTGTTAAAAAAGAATTTATTTGATTTGGCAATAAGGTTCTATGTTAATTTTACCTATTTTTTCTTCGAGGACCTCTATCTTTCTTCCCACCAATTCTCTTTAAACATTTTAATAAAATTAAAATTTAGCATTGTACGACAAAGTCGGTTTACTACAGTTGATCAGTGCAAGAGTATTTATATGAAATATGGAGATTACTTATATACGTGAGTTTATTGGTTAGCCTGCATTTTTACAAAAATTATTTAAGCAAGGGTGACTTTGATAATGCAATGAAGCAATATACAGAAACGATTGGACATGTAGAGCCATCTAAAATTATTAAAAAAGTATTTGCTTTTTAACATTTTTTTTAAATTTTTCTTTTTCTTTCAGTTTCTCGATGGAACAAGAATATCTCAGCTTTGTTTTTATTTGGAAACTTTACATAGCCAATCTTTGGCTATCGGGGAACACACAACACTTTTAATTAGTGCTTATGTTAAACTTAATTCTGTCCAAAAATTAAATCAATTTATTGATCAAAATGAGCATTATTTAGTAAAGGAAGGTTTCGATGCAGATGCAGCAATTAAAGTTTTAATTTAAAAATATTTTTTTAATATTTTTAAAGCTTCTCCGTTCTGCCCAACTTTATCGTGTTGCTGCTAAATTGGCATTAAAATGTCAAAAACCTGATATTTTTATTGACATTTTAACTCAAGATACGAAAGAATTTACGGAAGCATTACGTTTTATAGAAAAATTGCCAGCTTCTAGTGCCTGTAATTTTCTTCAATTATATGGATCTTTATTGTTGGAAAATATTGAAGATGAGACAATTAAAATAATTAGAAAATTAATTGCTGCGAAAGGTACTCTAGAATTTTATCAAAAATAATTTAATAAATTTAAGAGGCAAATCATAGCCAACTTGTAAAAATGTTAATGAGTAGACCATCAAGAATGGAAGAGATATTTACTGAATTAAACATTTCTGGTCAATTACAAGATGTACACCTTCGCAACGCTTTACTAGAGCAACGTTTAAAGCGTTTTGAAAGTGGAGAGGTAGTCTATATTAAAAATTAATTTTTAAGAGTTCTCCGCTTAAAAAATTTAGGAATGAATTTATAAGCTTGATATACAATGGGGTACAAAACTGAATGATTTCCTCCTTTTTATTTATTTTTTAATTCAGGATTATTCAAAAGAAGATGTTGATGAGATATTACAATTAATAGGACCTGACAATTCTGAACAAGCTTTGCTTTTGGAAAAGCGTTATAAATGCCCTCCTCTTGTTATGCATATTCTCCGCTTGCAAAATAGGTATTTTAAGAAAAAGCTTAAAAAATGTAATAATTTTTCCTAAAGGAAAGAGGATTTATTACGTTATTTACTTAACGAGGGCAATATTATTGAGGTTATTGAACTTTGCGGAGAAAAAGCATTACGAGAAATGTGGATTGATTTAATCGGCCATGTTTGTGCTCGTCCAAATAAAACAAAAAAGGATGATTTGATTGCGTTATTGAAAAGGTTAGAAAATTTTGATTTAAGAATAAATAGAATAGGTATATTTTGCAAAATCTCAGATTTGATTACAGATTTGGGGGAAAGATTTTTGACCTTAATCCAGAAATGCCCGAAAAATATCCGGATCTAAAAAATTTGAATCGTTTTATTTTTCTCAATTTATTTAGAATTTCTCAATCTGATTTACTTCATCCATTGGTTGTACTTGAAATGCTTTCTAAGGATGATTCACTTCAAGTTGGAGATATTCGTGACTATATAGTTGCTTGGCTTGAAAGACAAAATGCTGCGATTAAAACATCAGAAAATAAATTGTTCGAACAACAAAAACGTTTGGAAGGAATGAATGCTGAAATTGATGATTTAGAGAATAAGTAAGAGAATTAAAACCAATTCTTTATTAAAAAAATTTTTTAAATTTTTAGTGTTCAAGTTTTCCAAGTAAGTAAATGTGCAGTTTGTAATAATCCCCTCCAAGTGCCGTCTATTCACTTTCTTTGTCGACATTCCTATCATGCAAATTGTTTTGAATCTTATAGTGGTAATTCACCAGATCAGTGCCCAGCTTGTACCGTTTCTGCTAGAAAAAACACAAAAGAACAAGGTGCATCTACTGTCAAACAGCCAAAACAATTAGTTTATCAACAATTTAAAAACGAGGTTAATTTTTATATTTTGTTAGTTTTTAAATAAATGATGAAAACTCTAAAATTAAAAAAAAATACAATTGAAATTAAAATCTGGCTCAATTTATTCTTAAATTTTTTCATTCAATTTTCAGTTAGAAAACTGTCCAGATGCAATGGCTTTAATCTCAGAATATATTGCTAGTGGTGCCTTTAATATACAACCTACTGCAAATGCTCCAGTAAAGTCAAATAATCCCTTTGATGACGACAATGAAGATAGCAATGTTTAAATTTATTTTTTCTAAATATTTTTTATAAATTTATATTTTTGTGATAAAAAGTTTTTTTACTTTTTAAATTGTCTTTAGAAATGATTGTTTATTTCCTTATTTATTTTTTATTTTATTATTTATTCCAAAATTTTTTATAAGATTTGATAGTAATCATGAGCAAAACAAAAAAGGATGACTCAAATTCAAAATTTAAGCGTAAAAAAGGAGGTGGGGATGGAAAGAAGCTTCGTTCAAATCACAGCCTTAACCCAGGTTAAATTTTATCTTAAAGTTAGTTATCTAAAAATTAAATTCAGAGAGGAAAGTAACGGGAAAGACAACTGGTAGTGGTCCAACTATGCGTTCAAAATCTACCATTAATCGACTTCGTATGTATAAAAACTTCAAACCGAAAAGGTGAGACAAGTTCTAATAATTCAAGAATAGTGTTATATTTTTAGAAATGCGCAGGGTAAAATAACCAAAGAAGCACCCTTTCAAGGAACTTTAAAATCGGGAACAGTTGCTCGTGTTGAACCTCATCGGCGTTGGTTTGGTAAATTTTTTAAGTTCTTGGAAACAAACTTTGAAAAATTCATTCCTCAGGTAATACTCGTGTAGTTGGGCAGGACCAGCTGCAACAATTTCAAGAAGAAATGGGTAAAGTACTTTTCGATCCTTTTCAAGTTGTGATGAGACAAACGCGGGCACCAATTTCTTTGTTACAAGAAAAAGCTAAGGTTTTATAATTTAAAGATTAAAAAATTAGAAAAAACTACTATAATTTAAGCAACAACGAGTTCACATCCTCGACACTCAAAGTTTTGAACATACTTTCGGAAAGAAAGCACAAAGAAAAAGAGCTACTTTAAATGTTGACAATCTTGAGGTAAAAAATAATTCGTTTCATTAATTTTATTTATTTTAGGCGTTTCGAGAAGAAGCTGAACTTAAAAGTGGTGATTATTTGGAGGAAAATGATAGATATTTGGTTGTAAATCAAGCAAAAGCATTGGAGGAACGAACAGAAAATCCAACCCCTCTTTTCAGAGCTGGACAGAGTGCTCGCGTTTGGAGTGAACTTTATAAGGTTTTGTTTAAAAATTGAATAAAGTTCATCAAATTTTTTTGAAGGTGATTGACTCGTCAGACGTTCTTTTAGAAGTTCTGGATGCTCGTGATCCAATGGGTTGGTTCAATTTTTATCTCTTAAAATTTAAGAATCTTAGGGACTGACAATGTATTTTATACCTTAACACATCCCCAGCTAGATTTTCCCATCTGCTCATAATTTTTATAGGACCACAGAAATTAAAATTTTAAAAGCACTATAGGAACACGATGTCGCCAAGTTGAACAATTTCTTTCAAAAGAGAAGCCTCACAAACATTTGGTTCTTGTTTTAAATAAAGTTGATTTGGTGCCTAACTGGGTGACGGTTTGTGTCTTTTTCCCATTAAAGACTTATATTTCTACATTTTAAGAAGAAATGGATGCAAATTTTATCCAAAGAAATGCCAACAATTGCTTTCCATGCTTCTATTCAACATAGTTTTGGCAAAGGTTCTTTGATCAATTTGTTGAGGTTATTCCGAATAAATAATTGTCGAAAGATTAATTGTCTTTTAAATTTTAGGCAATTTTATAAATTACATCGAAAAGAACGTAAGCAAATTAGTATTGGCTTAATTGGTTATCCAAATGTTGGAAAGTCTTCAGTTGTTAATACTCTTCGAAATAAAAAAGTTTAAAAATTTTTATAGAACTTGCTTTAATTAATTCATTTTAAAGGTTTGTAAAACAGCACCGCTTGCTGGTGAAACAAAAGTTTGGCAATACGTGACGATGATGAAAGGAATTTATCTAATTGACTGCCCAGGTGTTGTGTATCCTCCACATGGAGATAGTGAAACAGATTTGGTGTTAAAGGGGGTTGTTCGAGTAGAAAATGTTCCCGATCCAGAGAATCATATCGCTGCAGTGCTTGATAGAGTTCAGCCTGAACATTTATTGCAACATTATGCACATATTTTTAACAAAGAAGAAGAAAGGAATGAAGAAAAGGGAAAGAGGACATTCTTAACAAATTCTGAAGAATTTTTAAGCAGGGTAATTTAAATACTTTAATTTTTGTTTTTAAAATTATTTTTAGATTGCGTTTGCTACCGGTCGTCTATTAAAAGGTGGAGAGCCAGATTTAAACACGGTTGCGCGTCAAGTCCTCAATGATTATCAGAGAGGTAATATACCACATTATGTACTTCCTCCTGGATGCAGATCACAAAGTGTAACTCCTTCAGAAATTGGCAGACAAATGGCTGATGAGGTTGAAAGTTAAAATTTATTTTAAATAAATTTTATTTCAATTTTAGAGACCAATAAATTTGGTAGAAGAGGATGAGAAAATTGATGCAATGACTGATTCTGAATGCGTACCCGATGATGAAAAAATGCTTGATGAGGAAGAAATTTTTGAATTAAAGGACGAAGAAGTTAAGGAAGAGGATGATGAAATAAATTGGAAAGATCCATCAGGCGAAAAAGAAATTATTAAAGCAATTCTTGCAAAACGAGAGAAAAAGGAGGGAGATGATGAAAAGAAGAAAAATGAAGAGAACAAAGAGGGTGAAACAGAAGATGATGGTTTTGATGATGGAGAATCGAGTGTAATTACTGATTTTGAATTTCAGGTTAGAATTTTTATAGAAGGAAACAAAATTTATAAATTCATGAAATTGTGAAAATTTTTAGTGAAAAACCTTTTTCCTGTACGTTTATTATTCTACATAAGGAGATTTTATTCAAGTAAATTAATTTTGACAAATTTAGCTAAGTGCTACAGATGACGAATGTGATGGTCTTGAAAGTATTGGATCTGATTTAGAAGAAGATAATACAAAAGACCATCAAAATACCCCAAAAATTGCTGGAAAAATTAAAAGAAGACCGAGAGGGAAGCGTGCTGGCAAAAAATTAAATAAAACTGATAAAAGAAGAAAAAATGATAAAGAAAAAATGAAAATGGAAGGAATTGTGAATTTCGATGGGCCTTCAAAAAATGATATTCCTAGAAATTTGTGGCGTAAGAAATTAAAAAAGAGAGTGAAGCCAAAACACCAAATTTGATTTTTTCTTTTATTATCTTTTGTTGAAAATAAATTAGCTTAAATTAATGGAATTTCTGAATATTGAAATGTAACTGGGGACATGTGGGTGGTTCTTCTATTAAATTAGGAAAAGGTATTTCTGGGTGTTCTATGTTGACCACGAAAAGTTTTTGAGACTAAACATGTTCAGTTTACACCTTTCAACCAACTCAGCAGTAGTATGATAAGTGATGGTAAATAGTAACTCAGCAGTAGTAAAATCTATTTTTTCGGGTTATCCGGTCCGGAGATCGCAAAAACCCCGGATTTGGGACCCGGACACCGGAAAAATCCGGCCGGACCCGTTCAGGTCAATATTCAGCAGTATTGCTAGCGTCCGTGTAATGTAAACAATAAAAGTTTGGCCTGCGTTGGCAATGAAATGTCTGTTTTCAAAAGTTCAATTTTAAATCTTTGGCAATTCGTATTTTTTGCCGCGCCGTTTTCTAGGGCCGAATTCTTTCTCCCATTATTTTGTGTTTCCACTAAAAGTTTTATTAACATTATTAAATTTATTTTTAGTTCCTAATGCCTCCTTTAAACCCAATTGATGGTCCTAGACGTTCATTGGAATCTTCTCAATTATCTGAGAGGGAAAAGAGTCAAATTATCGAAAAGTAATTGTTTTTCTGTAAATTGGGTCTAGTGCTATATTTAGCATATTTTTGTCTTGCTAACAAAAAATTAGGAAGGGAGGAATTTTAAAAATAAAATTTTCTTAATTTAAATATCTCGAACAATTTAATTAAATTTTCAGTCCATTCCGAACTGGCTTTTCTTATGCAGATTCTTTTTCTTACACAAAGGATGGCAGCACCGAGTATGTGAATCCACGTTTTTGTCGTCCCTTTCCACCTTTATCATCAAATGGGAATATTTCTATTTTTACGAAAACGGAACAAAAACTTGCTGGGTTGGTATTTTAATTATTAATTACTCTAATTTTTAAACTTATATTGTTTTTTTTGTCTAACCAAAATCTAAAAATACCCCTTAAGAAAAATATCGTATTTATTCTATAATTCATTTCGTTGTTCCAAAAGAATCTTAATCTTGTAAATCTGCTCTTAAATCTTCGTACCAGGTAGAGAGCGGTCTGGATCCAGACCTTGATTCTTCCCGGATCCAGAGCAGACGTGGGCGAAACGTTTCGTTTCGTTGTTTCGTTAGTTTCGTTATGTTTTTTCCTGTTTCGTCTCGTTTCGTGACGAAACACTTTTTAGTTTGTTTCGTTTCGTTTTGTTAACGAAACACCTCTGTTTCGTTAACGAAACATTACCCATTTTTTAGACCAAAATATTACCCAAAAACTGTAAAATTTTCCCCTTTGGTGATCAAAATTCAAAAAATTTTTGCCTGCGGCGCTGAAATCTGGATTTTAAGCGCCTACGGCGCATAATTTACTATATTTTTTTTTGAATTTCTCGTTTGATTTTATTTTTTTAATATGCAAAGCTCGAATTCTATGCTAGATTAGGCATATAGAATCGATGTACCTCTTAATGCCAATCAGGGCAGGCGCAAGAGTTTCAATAAAGTTTAGTTTCAATAAACGAAAACGCAACTTATGGCAATAATCATGAATATGGTTGCCTTTTTTCGGGCCTGTTTCTATCGAGTCGGGCCAGTACGAGACTTTTCGGGCCAAATATCTTAGGCTCGACTCGATATTTTGGTCCGAGTCAGACCATTTTGGCAACCCTAATCATGAACGTTGTTATCAACAAAAAAATCTGAGTTGAGAAATATCATTGGATTTGGCGGGAGCAATGGTGGTATAGGAAATTTGGAGAGAGTAAACAGGATATGGGTGGATTTGGAGGGTTTAAAAAATTTTAAAAAATGCCGGGAATCAGGAACGGGTTTAGGCGATAGTAATTTCCGACAAAGTTAATTCCCTATTTTAGGGAATCAGGAAACGGCTCGGCAGGTCCCTGATATACACATATACTCAACACATAATTCGAGCCTGGGACCACAATTTAAGGTCCCACTAAGCTATTAGATCAATTATAGGCCATAACTGGCCTAATAACGTGTCTAAAATCGAATAATTAAGAAAATAAAACCGTTTTTATTAAATTTTTTGAAAATTAAAATGTTTCGTTTTGTTTCGTTTCGTTTCGCTAAATTTTTACTGTTTCGTCTCGTTTCGTTAACGAAACGATTTTTAAAAAATTTTGTTTCGTTTCGTTTCGTCTGAAAAAATTTTCGAGTTTCGCCCAGGTCTGATCCAGAGTCCAGATCAAGGCATTTTTCAGCGTTCCTTTATTTTTCCTTTACTAAAGGTCAAGAATCTGGTCAAGGTCCGTACTTAAAACCAAGCTCAAGGGTCAACGTTTTTTTTGAAAATCTCGCTCTCTAGTACCAGGGTGGTCCTTTACTTATCCCCAAAAAGGGGCATGGCCTCTCAGAAAGGGCAAAAATGTGGCTTCAAACATTTTGAAAAGACAAGCTTCTTATTTTCATCTAAAATTTTTTTCTTTTTTTTTTCAGTTTTTCCAAAGGAAGTTATTTTTTGTCATTTTTATGTGTGTCTCTTTTGATATTTTCTTCTTTTCTTTATTATTTTCCAAATTGTGATGATAGTATTCTTAAAAAAGAAGAAAATAAATTTTTAATTGAAAAACAAAAAGAAATTCAAAATCAAGAAATATTTTCAATTAATTATGAAGAAAATCAACAAAATAATATTACAAGTTTTTCTGTTCAGCCAATTACTTCTGTTGTTTTGTTTAAAGGTAAATAAATATATTTTGATTGAATTTTTGAGACATAAATGTGAGGTTTTCGGAGCCGGGGTCTTTCGGTTTGGTTTTGGATATCCGAGGAGGGTTTTCCCATGATCGACAGCAAGCCCTTAGCCAGGATTTTTTTCGGAGAGGGCCAAGAGTGGGAAAATTTTTCTACGCCGAATTTTTGGCTGAAAGTGGCCCTCTGGCTACGGGCCTAATCGACACCCCTAATCACAGATAGTCTAATAAATTTTTGTATTGAAATAAAATACACTCAATTGTCAGCTTTATGTCAGACAAACTTAACAGATGTCCTCAAACGAATTGAAATTATTTTTTATTTTATTTAAATAAAATTAAATTTTCAATTTTCTAGGTGGAGAAATGATTAAAATAAATTCAACAAAAATAATTAAACAAGTTTCTCAAAATATTACAACAGCAATTATAAAAAGAATTTTAAATGAGAATAATTCTGATTTTGGTATTTGCCCTTGGGAAAAAAGTTTTTTGAAATTTTTTTAATTAAAAAAATTAATTTTTTAGAAAATGAAGAAATTTTGAAAAATGAGGAAGATAAATTTTTAATTGAAGAAAAGCGTCAAAAGAAAATTAGAAATAAAATACAAAAATTATTTCCAATTAAATTATTTAATTACAAAAGAGAGAAACAAAATGTTAATTTGTCTGTTCAACAAGTAATTTTGGTTGCTAAATTTAAAGGTAGTTTTATTTATTTATAAACTAATAAGGATGGCGGCTTTTGATAAGGGTTGTCGGTTATTGGATGGTCTTCGGTTTACTTCTTACAAGGAACCATCGTTTATTGTGACTGCGAATTTGATATATTTTTTGGTACCATTCGATAGAGCACCATCGACTTCCTATTATAAAGTGATGCGGGTTTTCTTGCAAAATGACTTGGTACGAAAAATATATCAAATTCGCAATCAGAGCAAACGATGGTTCCTTGTTAGCTGATAACCCTTTTCCAGACGTTTCCAAAATTTTAGTGTTTGTGTTTTAGAAACTGGGATTCGGGATTTTTTTCTTAATATTTTTTTGGCTTTTGGTAATCTTCTGCTTCCTTGGTCCCTAGAAAAAAATGTGGAAAGAGTCTCGTTCGACATTTTTGAGACATGCCAGTAGGTAATCGAGCGTGCTGTGTCTAGGGACCAATTAAGCAGAAGATTACCTGGCTTTTACTTTTCTTTTCAAAAATATTTTATTTTTCGGAATTTTGGGGTTCAACCAGAATTTTTCAACAATCTCCTAATTCCTGGAATATTAAAATAAAATTTCTTTTCAAAAATTCCTTCTTATTTTTTAGGTAATCAAATAATTTCTGCCAAAATTTCCTTTCGTCTTTGTAAAATCCCAATTGGTTTAAACTTCTTTAATCGTCTATACAATAATTATAAAGAGAATTGTTCTTCAGCAATTTCAACTAAATTTGCTTTTCCAAAAACTTTTGATTTCCATTTTTGGGAAAAAGTAACTTAAAGAAATATTACCCCAAAATTAACCAAATATTTATATACTTCCGACATTTTTTTAAAGAAAAAAAGATTTTTTTATTATTTGTTTTGAAAAAAGAGAAAATTTTTATGATTTTTAAAAGATTGATTTTGTATAAATAATTTTAATTTTTTTTTGTTTTTTACTTAAAAATTAATTCTCTGTTGTTATTCTAAATGAGTCGTAGGTTTGAGTTGGAAATTAAAATCTAGCTTTTACTATAAAGCAGAGCTTTTTCTGAATTTTGATTTTTTTCTTTTCTATTTTTGACTTTGATATTTTCTGATTTTCGTAATTTTTAAAAATACAATTTTTCCCTTAATTTAGTTACTTCCCCATTATTCAACTCCCATTTGAAAAATATTTCTGAAAAAATAGTTTATTATTTATTTGCACCAACAGAGTACTCGACAATATACATATTTTAATAAGCAAATACAATTTTCTCTTTAAAAACTCGACGTTGCACAAAGGGGTTTTTAAATCTAATAGCCCCACTTTAGCTTACCCCCTATCTAGTGTTAGTTCCCTCGATTTATTGCACAATTTTTCCAGTTCCAATGTAGTATACTCAAAGGAGGAGCTCCTACTGTACTATAAAAGGACTTTAAAATTTCACTTCAAAAAGTTTGATCGTTCTTCAAAACTTTTCTCGACATCATGGCGGCTGAACTTATGCTTACGTTGTTTTTTGTGAACGCTTTCCTTCCATGTTTCCTCGTACTTTTCAGTCTTTTCGGTGTTCTTCTCTACATGTACATTCAATACAGAAAGATGAGAGATGAAAAGGAGGATGTCATGCGACTTCAACAAGCTTATTTGGTCCAAAAGTCCCATTCTAATGGTTAGGGGTTTTTAAATTTTTGGGTAGTTTTTAATTAATTTGTTAAAATTTTTAGTGAAGATGCTTTAACAAACTACTACTATAGGTGATAAACAATAAAAGAAGTGAGGAAATTGGAAGAGAGAGGAGAAAAGGATGTAATTTTCTTGTTGATAAATATTTTGTTGAATTTTTATGTATTGTTCTTTATGTTAAATAAATATAAAACTACAGAGATTTTAATTTTCTAAGGAAACCGGGAGTTTAGTTAAAAAGAAATGTGTATATCGTGAAAACGGAATTGTTTATTCTAAGATAGTAAAGCAGAGCTGGGCTATAGCTATTTCTCTCCTTTAGCTAGTCCAAAAGGTTAATCGGCGACTGGGAGCGAACCAGCATCTTCAGTAGACCGGACTGATTGTTAGCCATTACACCACGCCACCTACCTTACAGCCTTAGGAATTAAGCTTTAGGAAAGCTATATGCTTTACAATTGCACCTCTTAATAGAAATAAAATTTCTAAAAACGTAAAGAAGACATGTTTTCTAAAGGAAAATTAAAAAAAAAGAAATTATTGTATTTACAAAAATAATTAACAAAAATAAAAAATTTCAGTTTTGTACATAATTTAAGATTCTTTTTATGAAAATAAAAAATATTTTTTAACAAATTGATTGACCATTGAGATCATTTAATTTAATTGAGTGTATTACTATTTGAGCATCCCCAAATTGTTCAAATTTGTCATGAATTGCTACTAAAGAGAAATGTCTAATTTCTGGATCTAATTGAATAATTAAATGTTCCATTTTGCTTCTAACAACCTTTTTAAAAAATATTTTTTTTTAATATTTTTTAGAAAAAAAACTTTCGGTCCAAGCAAAGGTTCACAATTTCCCAATTCTTTAAGCGTATCATCTTCCTCCACAAACATTCCCTCCCCCATTGTTTCAATTTCTGCCAAAAGTTTTCTCTGAGTTTGTTGTTGTTGATCGTTTGGACAAATATATAGACGAGAACCGAAAGTTGATAAACTAGCTATTAAATGCATTTCTATTTGGGAATTTAAAGAAATTCGGAAATTGGGAGAACGAAGAACTGCACGACGCATTCCAGAAGTAAAATGAGCGGAGATTCCTAATTTATTTAAAAATTATTAAATTTTTTTATTAAATTGGTTTTTCCTTAATTCCAAATTTTTTTAAACAAATTCTCCTCCTTAAACGTTTCCCATTCTTCTATTTATCTCGAAAAATTATTATTCATACTGTGGAAAAATTAATCAAATGGGAGATGGAATAGAACCATCATGGAAAGGGCCCAAGAAAAAACCGAAGCACAACCGACTGTGCCAACCATCCAACCCGAAGATGAGTTATTTTCTTTCTGCAAGTGCGGGTTGTGCTTCGGTTTGCGCCCTTTCCATGATGGTTCTATGTATATCATCTCCCAACCAATGAATTTTTCCCCAGCAAGTATATAATAATTATTTTTTTAATTTAAAAATAATATCCACAAAACATCTTAAATTCTCCCTTTAAAAAATTAAATATAGTTAATTTGCCTTCTCCTTTTTTATGTACAAAAGGAACATCTCCAGCAGCAAGAAACAAAGATTTGTAACGACAAATTCCTTCTTCATTAAATAAACATTTAAGTAAATTACAAGTAATTTCCTCTGAAGATTTTAAACGACAAAAACCTTTGTTTTGTATTGCTATAAATTAAATTAAAAATAATTAAAAATTATTTTTGTCAAACCAATTCTTTTAATTAAAACAAAAGGTTCATAAAATCCATTAATTAAATTAATTGGGAAAGAACGATTACGTTCTGCAACAATTCTAATTCTGAAAGGTCGAGCAGAATTTAAGGCAACTGACCTTTAAAAGGGAAAATTAAAAAATATATTTTAAATTTCTAAAAACATTTCCGAAGTTGATTGACTTCCAAAACGTTTTCTTTTTGGATAAACACATTGTTCATTAGCACAAACACTTAATTGAGCACCAGGAGAGGCAAAATAGCTTATCTTGATTTTAAAAAATAAGAAGGAATTTTTTTTAAGGGAAACAATTGAGTGGGAAAATACTTAGCGATCGAGATTTTTGAAAAGCCTGGACCGGTTCCTGGACTCTGGAGTTTGATTTATTGACCTGGGCTGTATTCTGGGCCTGTAGTCCAAGAAAAACCCCCAGGCCCAGGAAAAACCCAGATGGTCAAAAAATGCCTGGACTTGGACTCTGGGTACAAGAAAACCCAGGTCCTTAATAGACAGTCCTTAATAGAAGGAAGAACTAAATTTGTTTTCTAAAAAAATAAAAATTTCAAAGGACCGAAACACGCCCTCCATCCACACAATCAATTGGACGTGAAGTTAAAATGGCAAATTGTTCTTCCTGAGCTCGCAAATCGAGAACCGCAACAGCAGAATATTTTCCACGGAATCGGCCGTCTATGGGAAATGGTAAAGGCAAAATACCGCGTGGGACGAGGCCGAGACGAAAACGTTGTTGACTGACAAAATATTTAAATATTGAATAAAAATTGTTTCTATTTGTACTTATTTGTCTCATCTACAGCCTCATCCCCAGAATCGTCCGTTACAGAATCACTATAACTATTATGCATCCAATGTGGACAAAGATCTCCTTGTTCAAAATCACATTCTCTGTCCACAAAATTTTTAATTAAACTTTAAAAACAAAAAAAACTTTTACAGTGAATTAGGGAAAGCTAAAGAAGCATCGACAGAATTGGCAGTAGGTAATGGTCTTAATTGTAGAAGTGAAGCTAATGGAGGTATTGGTGAAGGGGAAGTAGTTGGGGTTTGTTCATGACAGAGCCAACCTTAAAATAATTTTTAAAAAATAATGGATTGTTAATTTAATTTCGTTATTCAAAATGTTTAAGAGAGACAGTGTGTAATTGTTAAGAGAAATGGGTACTTATCCCTTATACCACACCCCCCCCCCCCCAAAAGTAGTGTCCAAAATGTCATATATGGGGTAATAAAGGGTGCTGATCACGATTATGGTGTTTATTTCTCACTATAAGAACCCCCTCACCCATAAATTGTCATGGTTCATACTGGTCAAACTTCAAGTTTTTATTTAAATAAAATTATTTTGGTGGTATTCTTTTATCGCTTTTATGATTTCTTCAAATGGATCAGCTTCTCTTCTTTTAACATCACTTTGCCAGAGAAATTAGCACAAATACGCATTTGACTATACGCATTTGACTACCACAATGGCAGAAACGTTCAGTATGAAGCAAACCGCAATTTTGAAAAAATTTTGCAGCGTTTGATTCATCAGGACATTCCCCCATTAGTGTGTCGTAATTATAGGGCATTTTTTATTTATTTATTTATTTATTTTTATTATTATTATTATGGGTTCAAATAAATGAAATCGTTTATATACTCATTAAATGACTAATAATCACACAGAAAATAAATATTAAATATTAGTGCATTAATATTGCTCATTCCTATATATTTATTTAAATAAAAACTTGAAGTTTGACCATTATGAACCATGACAATTTATGGGTGAGGGGGTTCTTATATTGAGAAATAAACACCATAATCGTGATCAGCACCCTTTATTACCCCATATATGACATTTTGGACACTACTTTTGGAGGGTGTGGTATAAGGGATAAGTACCGAGAAATGAAGAGATTTTGTCTGATACCAGAGAAAACAAAATTGTAATATAAAAACAATCACAAACAAACAACAAAACAATCTACAAACACAAAACATTTTCAGGCACACATTCTTGCCTTTGTTGTCAACAAATTGTGGACACAATGCTTGGTCGGTTAATGCTTGAAGGATCATCGTTGACTACTCTTCTATTGGTGGAATGGCTTCTTTTACTTCTCCCATTCGCTTTAAGCTTCTGTGTTTGTATCGTCACGTGTGGAGGCCAAAAGAAACAGCCACCACCACCTGGAAAACAGCAAAAGCCTCCTACTTTGCAATCTCCATCAAATCCTCCAAAAGGTAAGTTTGGATTTTATGAAATTTTGTCTCAAAAAAATTATTCTTCCAATCTTTTACAGCTAAAGAAAATCCAAAAGCAGCAACTACATCAACAAAAATATCAGCGCCAAAACCTCAACAACTTGGTGGAGGTCCTGGTTCAACAATTCAAGTGCCTTTCTCAAAAGAAAAAATGCTGTGGTCTGCTGCAATGACAGACAAAGGGGATGGCAAGAAAAAATAAGAATTGAGAAAATATAAAAATATTTAATTGAAATTGTTGTATTGTTATGAGGATTTGTAATTTATTTTTGTTTGTTTTGTTGTGTTTATAAATTTTGTAAAAGTTTAATTAACTACCATTATATTTAATTTCATCCAAAGCAATTACAGCCCCTCCCCCATTTGCTTCTCTGTCTACACGAAGGACATTAAATGCAAACTTATAATTTAAATATTTAATCCTTCCACAAATTTAAATATACCCTAAAAGGTTGATGGTCAGCTGTATCAATATCTACTGTGAGTGGGCCAGGAACTGAAAAATTATTTTTCTAATTTAAAATTAGTAGAATATATGGCGATTTTTAAGATTAAATCCCTACCCTCGAATAATTCCCCACTCTCGATTAATTCCCCAATACCAAGGAAGGGCTGAAAAAATAATTCCCCGGGGAATTATTCGAGAAAATACGGTATGGCGATTTTTAAGAAAGAATAATAAATTGAAAAGAGGAGTTTCTCGCGTTTTTTTGTTAAAAGAAAATTTTAAGTTGTTAGCAGGACTGTCACAGGTTATCCGACAGCTGTACTGACCCAAATCCGACTTTGTTCTCAATTCGTCACATCCCTGATTGAAAGGGAAACGATTAATTAACCCTCGTCACCTCCCCAATTTAATTTATAATTAATTTAATTCCTTTTTACCATCAGCTTCATTAAGATAAACACAAGACAGAGCTACATTATCTGTCCCCAAAGTACATATTTGTGCTTGAACTCCAGGACTTAGCCAGAATCTTTTTAAGAAAAAATTCAAAAAAATTTTTAATTAAGAAGTTTACTTAAAACTAAGAGTTGAAGGGCTTTGAGTACACGGAACAAGCACAGAACGTAATTGTGGAAGGGGAAATTCGGCAATTGGGTCGATAAATTGAAAATAAAATTGGCCAGAAGGTTTGGAAGGCGTTCTGACTATTTGCTCCCATAAATATGTTTTTTCTCCAATAGACCAATGTGCTGTGTGGGAAACACTAGAACTTGCTGTTTTTGAAAAATCAAACCAAAGACATTCCTTTTTTTAAAAGAAAGAAATTTATTTAAAAAAGTGAATAAATTAAAAATCAGAAATTTGTCAGAAATTGGAAGAATTATGGAATTTATATACATATATACATATATTATTAGATAATTTTTTGATTGATTGTAAAATGAGGGTGTCGAATATTTAGAATGAATACATAAATTTTTTAATTTAATAAAATTAAATTTATTTACCGAAATTTAATTCCTTATAAAAAAGTTTGTTTGGTGACTATCCTGTTGGGGGTTTACTTGACTGTTATGAGGGAATGAAAGGGGAGTTTCTGATACAGACAACTGAACATTTCCAGTTTTGTTTTTCCCCATTTTTCCCAAAAAATTTTCTTTTTTAAAAATTATTACTTGAAATAATTCTTCATTTCCCTCTTCATTTCCACAATTCAAATCAGAAGTTGTCATAATCGGTTTTCTTTGATGTACCCATCTAGATGTTTGTATTGCATCAAAAATTGGGGGTTTATCTACAAAAAATACTAATTTTTAAAAATTCCAAAATTAAAAATACTTAACATAAAATCCACATAAATTAGCTTCATATTTAATTTTTGTTAACAAAACAAAAGAACCAATTGTTTGGTCATTTAATTTAAATCCTCTTAATGCTAATCTAAATGGTTGTGGTTGTCTTTTAATTTCTACTTGGCAAAGACCGTTTGGTTTTAAATAATGACAGTCAGTTATTGGACGTTCAATTACTGTTAAATGTCCTCGACTTGAAAAGAAAAAATATTTTTTTGGATTAATTAGAAGAATAATTAGATGGTACTTATCGGTTATACGTCCACAAACTGAGTGCCATCCAACATTGACTGTCTATAACTTTTTTGAGCTTGATACAATTCAAATAAATCTTATGTCATTCGAAAGCCCTCGATAAGCGGTACCCTTTTTCTATTGGATAGATCAAGTCTGATCACTCATTTAAAAGTTAAACACAATAAATCCAGTTATTTGGTGTTTTTCGCATTTATCGGATTATAACTTTTTGACGAGTGATCAGAGTTGATTCATTAAGTTGGACGAATCAAAAAGTTAAAGTCGATCAGATTCGGCTGGCGCTCAGTTTGTAGGCTGGCTCACCGATAAATGGCTCACCGGCTGGTTCACCGATAAATACCAATTAGATATTTTAATTTAAAATATTCTCAACACTTAATTATAATCTAAAAATATATTTTTAAATTCTAATATAGAAAGAGCCTAATAAATATAAAAATTCAATTTCTAATTATTTAATCAGAATTAAATTAAAAATAAATTATTCACGTCGGATTAACTTTAAGTACAATAACTTCAATTCTCGCATTATTATATAGCCAATATCTTAAAAACAAATTTAAAAAATTTCCAAAAAAAATATGTTTTTCAAACTCAAATGAGAGAATTCCTGTTGTGCTTTGACAGGCTATTGGGGCACTTATTAAAGTTGCGTGATTGGGATCTTTTGTTAAATTTCCAGCAAAAGCAAAATAAGTACCTCAAAAATTTATTTAAATTTAAATTTTTCTTCAAAACAAATAACCAATTTCTGGATGGGAATTTCCTGGTCCAACTTGTATAGGAAATGATTTGTCGTTATTCTTTTGGAAAAGATAAAAATCGCTATTATCGAGTAATCCATCAGAAGGAGCATTTGCCCATAAACAATTTGTAGAAAAATCACAATTTAATTGAGAGGCAATATTTATATATTTATCCATTAATTGCTCTTTTTTAATTAAATAAAAATGTAAATGTTTGGTTAAGTATTTTGCATTTTTTTTATTTTATTCAGAAATATCGTAAATTCTGGCAACCGTTTGTTTTTGAAGGATAATTTCGCATAAATTGGGAAATAAACATAGGGTGCTTATTTACAGTAATTTAAGGACAAAGTTTAATTTTCTAGTTACTACATGTTCAAATTTAAAAACTCGAATAATCCCCTCCTTTGAATAATTCCCCATGCCACGGATAGGCTGAAAAAATAATTCCCCAGGGGAATTAATCGAGTAAATACGCTAAATTGTTTTATAAATATTATTAAAGAATACTGCGGTGCATATGTTTATGCACACTTGTTTTTTGTTTATAAGTTTATGCACACTTATTCAAAAAATAAGTTCTATATAGCAATCGAAAGCTCTATTTGTATCTCAGTTGAAATGTTTCTGCATTTTTCGAAATTCTAATATTTTCGAAAAATTTTCGACCGGTCTAACAGGTACTACATTTTCAACTTTTCGGAAAATTTTTTTTGAAGTCTGTAAAAAATATATGTGATTCTTCTCCAGATTCTACATATAATACAAAAAATTCATCCAAATCGGTCGAGATTCGACCAAGTTATGAATTTTTGAAAATCGAAAAAACACCATATTTTTGCCATTTTTCGTCAAAAAATCGCGTTTTTTCGATTTTCAAAAAATCATATCTCTGGACCGAAAAAAGATATTTCTAAGCGGTTTTGTATAAATACTCACAAAAATATGCTTTATCAAATGGGCTTGTTAAATTTTTTCCGAAAAATTTTTCCGAGGATATGGGATTTGGTATATCCGGTAGATCCGGATTATCTCGGCCAATTTTTATTTTCATGGAAAATGCAGAAACATGTCAACTGAGATACAAATAGAGCTTTCGATTGCTATATAGAACTTATTTTTTGAATAAGTGTGCATAAACTTATGAACAAAAAACAAGTGTGCATAAACATATGCACCGTAGTGTATTTATAAATTTAGTTAATTCGATTATCCCAAGTAATTAATACAGTTTATTTGTCATCCAAATCCCAATTAATTTATTTCCCCTCCAAAACCTAATTTAATTAAAAGTCCAAAGAAAATTTATTTAAATAAATTTTAAAAATAAATTTAAAATTTTTCCTTCAAAAATCTACCTTTAACCCCAATTTCTCCATCTTCATTACCGGGACTTATTCCAAGATAATAATCTAAATAATTTAATTCTTTTCTATATTGTTGTGTGCAAGCAATAACAATTAATGAAGAATTAAAAAATATCAAAATAAAATTTAAAAAAATAATGAAAAGTTGAAAATTATGAATAGTAAATATCTGGTGCATAGGAAAAACTTTTGTTTAAAAATCTACTAAATATTTTAAAGTTAAAAAATATTTTAAAGTTTAGAACAAATAATTTAATTTTTTTAGGGAAAAATTTATATTTTTTATTTAAGATCAGTGTTCAAAAGCTTGTAACGAAATTCGTATTCGTACTTTAGTACATAGTACAAGTACGTGCAAAATTGAAATTTATGGACACCGTTTAGAATGTAAATAATAGTTATTAGAAATTGGACTGGGGAGTGTTGTACGAAAACCGAGATCTCGAAAAATATTGATCTCTAAATAGCAGCTGATTTTTTTTCAAGGTTTAGTCTTGGGCCAATCTCTAGATTAATATTTACTTGTAAGAAAAAGAAACGAGATTTAGAGTTGTTTCTTAGTAAGGAAAGCAGGGAATCTTAAGCCGAAAAGTTATTTGGCTTATGTGTATTTAATTCTAATTTTTTATTACAACTTTAGGTTGTTCCTCGTCCTCGAAAATTAGGGAATTTGAAAAGTTTTTTTGAAATTCCCTGGCCGGATGTACATCCGTAATTATAACCAGAGAATATACCAATGTGATATAATAGTGTTGACAAAAAAACCAAGTAAATCGCCAAAATTCTAACTAAATCAAATAATTTTGTAATTAATTAAATAAATATTTTTAATTACAAAAAAAAGATTTGATTAAAAACATAAAAAAACATGTACATAATTATTGTCGGGAATAGCGCCATCATTTTATATAAGCTAATTAATGGCTTAATAGTGTTGATTATTTTATTGATATAAAAAGAGAAAATATATTTAGAGAAAATGTTTGGGAAACTGGTATTTTTTGATAAAAAAATGGAATTAATTTATATTTAAATATAATTTTAAATAAATTAACTGAAAATTCTTTAATAAATAAATAAAAATAAAATGAATATACCGTATTTGCTAAAATAATTACACAAGGTAATTATCGCTAGAGGGGGTAATTAAAAGGGAGGGAGTAATCATTTGAGCGTTTTTAAAAAGGCTAATTATAACTATTTTTAAGAGGGGTAATTATTTTTTCGATCTCTGGCTGTAGGGGGTAATTAATAGAGCGAGGGTAATTATTTGAGAGAGGGACATTATTTCAGCATTTACGGCAAATAATTATGCATAATTTTGGCTCATTTTCAACTAAGACAAAAATCCTAAAAATCTCTGGAAGTTCCAGATATCTGGAACAGCCAACATTAATACACCCATTATTTCTAGCATGTTTTAAAATATACATACATATTTACAACAACAAAAATAGAAATATTCAACAGATTCAACAAAGCAAAATTATTTATGTATTTTATCTTAGGAAAATAACATTCTTCTCTCATTTCTAATTTCTTTACTTCTTTTGTTGTTTATCGTCTATAGTAGTAGTAGTAGATGATTAGAACTTTTCTGAAATAAAATGAAATTTATTTTAATCATAAAATTTCGAAAACTAACCATTAGAACTTGGCTTTGTGGGCGAGCAAATATTTTCGTTGGAGTCGCATGATTCAACAAAGCAAAATTATTTTTCTTTACTTAGATGTTCCTTTTCCTTTCTAATCTTTTTGTATTGAATGTACATGTAGAGACCAACACCACAAAAACTGCCAAATGTTAAAAGACACGGTAACAAAACACTAAGCCAGATGAAAATAAAGAAATCATCCTCGCGATATTTCATGTTGTTGAGAAAAGTTTAGAAGAACGGACAAATTTGTTGGAATTAAATTCGAAAGCCCTTTTATAGTTTTGTTTTTATTTGGCATTAAAAGTAGAGTACTTGGGCTCGGAACTCGGAATCCTAATACTCGGATTACTCTACTCGGACACTTTATACTCGATTGACTCCAAGGATACAGCGAGGGATTTGGCCTTCAAAAACAGTTGGATTGCAGAATTCCATATTGTGAAAGTATTTTCCTTCACGTATATCACCTATATTGCTTGAAGAAAAAAAAACTAGGGAGGATATTCAAAAGAACCAAAAACTCTTTTCTCACTAAAAAATAAAATTCCTTATTTCCCCTAAAATTAAAATACTCCTTTATAAATTAAAATACTCCTTAATATTTACAATAAACAACAAAATAAATAAATCTACAACAAAATCCAACAAAACAAAATTATTTAAGAAATTATATTTATTTTCCTTCCCTCACTTCTAATTTCTTTACTTCTTTTATTGTTCATCGCCTATAGTGGTAGTTGTGATTAGACGTTTACTGAAAATTAAAGAAAATTATTTTAATAAAAAAATTTAATTAAAAATTCTAACCATTAGAATTTGACCTTTGGATAACCATTTGTTGGATCCGCATGGCATTCTCCCGTTCCTCTCTGTTGCTTTTGTTGATACAGTAAGCGATGAGACCTATAGTACCGCCAACAGTGACACAGATTATGATACAGGGAAGACATGACCAAATAAAAATCAGCATCACGTATAGCCAAAGAAAGAAACCACCTGCAGCAGCATCAGCTCCTGCCATATTGTTGAGAAGTTTAGAAGAGAACACAGAATGTTGACGAGATTTTTGTTTGAAATAAAATTTTGTACTTTTATAGTACACCTTAGAGCATTCCAAGGCCGAAAATTTTCCAAGATTTGTGACCAAGACTCAAAACCAAGACTTCACCCCAAGACCGAAAAAAAACCCAAGAAAAGTCTTGAGTCAAGACTCAAGACCAAGAGTCTTGGAAGGCTCTAGTACACCAGCGGTGTGCCGAAAGAGATTTTAAAAAGCGAAAGACGAAAGCCCAAAAAAGGCGAAAATCGACAAAAAACGAAAGGCGAAACTCACACCCCTGTAGTACACTTATATGTTAATTAAATCTTATTTGAAGTTTAATTAAATATTTTTATATTACTATACATCCCTTTTCTCTTTTTTATTCTCGTTTATTAAATATTTTATTGAGTGTTTGTTATTTAAAAATATTCACGACTTTATTTCTTTTAATTTTTCTTTTACTTTTCTTTGCTTATTTCCTGCTTGTTAGCCATATGGGAAAATTTCTGCATTTCTTTTTACTTTCCTTCAATGTTTTGGCCAAGTAATAGACAGCAAAAATAAAATGAAAAAGGCCAAAAAAGAAGCTAAAAAGATGGCAATTTTTAGACATTCTCTATAGTTATTTTTATGCTTCTCTTAAATTTGCTTCTCTCAATAAAACTTGATTTTAATAGATTGGATAGGTCCGAGCCTTAAAAATAATAAATACAAATTCGGCGATTTTTGAATTAGGATTCAGGAAAATTATTTTCGTTTACGAGGTGCAACTCTGATGCCAAACTAAAAGAAATGAAAATTTTATAGCTAACAGTAAGACTAGATCATGACACGGAATTGTAAAAAATATCTTCAGACTGTTACAGATTTCTGAACATAAAAAAGGTTTAGACATATTTGACCCAATGGCAAGACATGTGGTGTCTTGACACCAATGTGAGAATTGACACCCAATCACATACACAATTGACACCCAAGACACACTTATATTCTAAGTCAATGACTTAGAATATAAGCGCAACGAGGGTATACATATTTATCTTAAATTAAATTTGTCATTTCCAATGTTTTTATTAAGAGAATTATTATTTAAGTAAAATATCCTTACATGAAATTTAAGGCGAAAATTCCTTTCCCCAAAAAAATATATTCGAGAAAATATATACAAATACAAGCATTCCAACACATCTTTATCCTTATGGACAAAGAAAAAGATGGGCAAAACAGCTTCTCTACATAAAGATATATTCTTTCTATATTTGCCAAGAGAATTTGTCTTTTCCTTTTCTAACAGAAAATATATTTATTTTTTGACAAATAAATTTTAGTTTATTTAGAAATATATACTAAAATATTTTCAAAATAAATTATACTAAAATACTTTTTAATTAATAGACTACATATTTTTATAAACAAGGAGGTAAATATTTTTCATATGAAATAAATAAAATAATTAATCACACCTATGTATATTTAGTTAAATTTTTTAAATTTAATTTTCTTAAATATTTTTACTTCTTTTCCCTATATTCTATTTATTTTAACTAATTATCAAAAAATATTTGAAAAATGATCCGATGGTAATTTTTATAATACATAGTATGTATAACTTTATTTCCTACACATCCAAACTTTTAATTATTAATTAATGTTCTCTCCAGACCTGTTCATGGACACGGATATGGATACAGATTCTATCAAGATGCCTGCGGATATCCGACTGTATCCGCCGTAAATATCCGGATACGGAACCAAAATCAGTATCCGTGAGCAGGTCTAGTTCTCTGCATTCCGTTAGCTCAACCCTTTCGAAACTATACTTTTAGTTTCAGTACCATGTAGGAGAATATTATTTATAACATTAATAATCTTTATTGGAAGTGTTTTTAGTCGGGAAAATACTTATCTTTAATTTAATTTTCTATTTTTTTAATTTAAATATTATTAATAAAAAAATAATTTTTTGATTTTATGAGAGTTTAAAATATGTGATCGAAATTTTATAAAATCTCAAAAATAGGCAATGTTCTGTTGCTAATGTTTAGGGATGGGATTTATATGGATTTCCATATTTTTTTCCTGAACTCGTTGGGTTCTGAAACGTACAAAAAACATGTTTTTAGCATATAGTGATAAGGCCGTTTTTGAGTTATCAATCCATATTTTCCATATTTTATCCATATTTCGTCATTTTTTGTAAAATTTTGACAAAAATTGGTCAAAATTTTTAAATTTATGAAATTTTTGGTCAATAATTTTTTCAGAAAATTTTTGAAAATTTTTTTATAAAAATATTGACAAAAATTTTTAAAAAAATTTTCGATTCAAATATTGTCCAAAATATTTTTAGAAACAAAATAATCACTATTAATTGGTTTATTTGTATTAATTTGCATCAAAATTAACTTAATTAACATTTTCTGCTTAAAAATGAAAAATTTTCATTTAAAAATTTTCAGTTTTCGGCCCATATTTGATCCATATTTTGGATTTTAGTCCATATTTTTCAGTCCATATTTTGAGATTTTTAGTCCATATTATATGTCCATATTTTTCTATTGATAGTCCATATAAATCCCATCCCTACTGATGTTTTACTGTTTTAAAACTAGATAAACTTTATTTTTATAATTTATTTATTTAGCTATATTTTAATTAATTCTTAAATTTCCATATTTTGGCCAGCTTTTTTTTATATTTTTTGTGAGGTCTTCCTTCGCCTTCTTTTTCTTCATAAATTTTCCGTTCCTCCCTCGTTTTTTCTTCACTTTTCAACACTAAATTTTACTCAACTATAAAAAAGGAGGAGCACCCAACAAAAATAAAGTAAAAAATAAATTCCCGTAGAGATTTTCAATTGTCCCTCACGTATTTTTTTTTATTTATTTTTAAATATGTACACACTTCATCACTTTTTTGCCATATTGCTTTTACTTTATTTTTTAACCATAATAAACATTCGTCATTCGGATGAAATATTTTGTAAAATAAAATTTTCTTGTAAATTTAAATAACTAATTTTTTTCTTTATCAATTAATTGTCCATAAATTATGTTGACTATTATATCTCGATTGGGTAATTATTAAAAGTTCATAGTATTGTAAGGAAGAGAGAGAGAGATTCAGCTGGATAGCGTTTAAAACGCTCTTGAAGCTGAAAGCAGCATCCCGGTAACTCAGTTGGTAGTGCACCTGTACGTGGTGAGGAAATCGCCTAGCAATAACTGCCGGGAGGTCGCAGGATCGAAGCCTGCCCGGGATTAAACTTTTACCTCGCTCTTACTGTATTTTATCTGAATATTTTTAATTGTTTTCGGTATATATAATTTTTATTACAATTTCTAGTGCCCTCCCTAACTATATTTATTTTTTTTAATTAAAAATAGAATAATTTAATTTTAAATTCAAAATTTATATTTATTTTTTGCATTAAAATAATTGCCAATACTAAACTAACCCCCTCTTTTTTAAACCTCCAACAATTAATTTAAAAAATAAAAAGCTGCTGGAAAATTTTTTCCTTTTTCCACACAAAATAAAATGGCAAAAAGTCTGAAATTGTGAAAGAATTTACCATATGTTTATTTTTATTTTTCTGGCAAAAAATGGAAGAGTCAAGAGAGGGAATGAGTGCAAACAAAAAAAGTGTAAGGTATATTTAACCAAAAAAAGTCAACAATACTTGATGAATAATTTTAAATTGATGCTGGTAGCTTTTCTTTATATCTAATTGAGAAAAAAAGAGAAGAATAACTAACTAACCAACCATTTTATTTATTTTTTTTATTTAATTCTATTGCAAAATTCTCGTATAATTTTAGTTTAATTTCCTTATTAATTCAATTAGAAAATTAAGGATCTCTATTATAAAATGTAAAAATTACAATTTTAAATTATAAGCCGTATATGCTCAAATATATATATATATATAGCCCCCTTTCAGTTAATTTCTCCCTCTCAAATAATAACCCCCTTCAGCGAGGGATTTAGATAATAATTGCCCAGGGTAATTATTTGAGCATATCCGGTATAAGATGAGTTATTTAATTTTAATTAAAATAAATGTTTTTCTTAAATAAATATTCTAATATGAGATAATATCTAATTTTCATCCACCCCCTTTTTACATACAAACATTCCCTTTTTAATACTATTTATTTAATTTATAATTTTTTAAAAGAATTTTACCATTGGATCCAAACTTTAAAAAACTGTCAGAATCCATCTTTTCATCATTTCTTTTTAATCATTTTCCTCTAAAATATTTTAAAAAATGCATGTTAGATACTTGCAACACAGCAGTCACGGTACTGTTCAATTGTTATTAATGCCTTTGAGTGCTGGTATTTTTGGTAGTGATTCTCAAAATGAAACAAAAACAAAGTAAATTAAAATTATTTTTCAAAATTCTATTTTTGTTTAAAGAGAAAAATAATAAATTGGATTAAAATAAATTAAAAAATTAAATTATATAGGGGTTGTGGAATTAGTATATTATAGGGCAAATTAATATTTGGTACAAAAAATATTAATGACCGGCGAGGGACAGTTCCCGCTCCCGCACTTTTTTTAGTTTACAGATTTTGCCGGTCACAAATAAATAATTAATTGTTTTTACTAAATAATCTTTTTATCTCACATATTTCTAATAAATTTATATTAAAATTGTAGTAATTCTGAAGATGAAAACGAAACAGAGCCAATTCCATTACCTATACAATCATTTTTGTGGCGTCAAACAAAGTAATTTATTAAATATAATTTACAATATATTTTTTCATTTTAGTCCATTTCTTGGCTCAAAAATTAATAAATTACAAGATGCTTCTTGTGTGGTAAATAAAAAATAAAAATAATTTCCCCTTAAAAATTCCCCTCTATTTATTTGAAGACATTTGAACGTGTTATTGTCCAAAATATTTTGCATGGTTTAAGTCCAAGTTTATCCGAAGCTATTTCTTCAATTTCTCGTTGGAATCTTGTTCGGGCATCATTTCCACATATTATACAATGTTCAGCTACTTTATTAACAGAAAGGGCTGGAGAAGAAGAAAGTTTAGCAATGAGTAGCTCTTTAGTTAAAATACTTTATATATTACATTGGTTATTAATTGATGCTAATGTTGAATGGTTAGTTGATAATTTTTGGTTATTTTTAAGAAAAAAAATTTGGAAAAATATGAGAGATTCTCTCAATTTCTATCAACCATTTTACAGGAAAATAAGTTTAGAAAATAGCCAAATGTATAGGTTAGGTTAATATAGGTTAGGTTAAGTAACTAGAAGAAGAACCAAGGATTTTCTGTTCAGTCTTAGGTTCGGTTCCGGATATCCGAAGAATTTCCTATAATTTACAACCCTACTGATAACAATAAAGAAGTTTTTTTGAAAGTTATTCAAGAAAATTTTTTGTAAATTCATAATGCAAGAATTATTATGAACAGAGAAAGTAGAGAAAATAGGAGAAAAGTAAAATTGTATTAATAAATGAAAGGAAAAGAAATAAACTAAAAGTGAGTGAAAAAGGTTAGAACGTTTAAAGGAAAGAAATATAATAGAAAAATAAATGTAAATTCGCTATTCTTTACTACCCAATTAAGATAGCATATTATTTTAACTGAATTAGTTTTCCTTAAACGTGTTGAATAGCCTTGCGCTCGGGCAGTACAGCGTCCAATGAGGCCTAGCCGAGGAGCTGTTATTGCTGATTGAAAACTTATACCAATTGCCCGCCTTGGCCTGCGAAAGCAGTGCCTTGTGCAATTTTTGGACGCCCGAAAGGGCAAAAAATGTTGTAAAATTCTACTGGTTAGGGCTGTTAATTAATATAACTTAATATTAAAATTTAACTTTAATATTTAAAATTTATTCTCTTTTCCTAACAGTTTGAGCAATGAACTGTCAGCCCCTTCAACTAATACCAGTAATTGTTTAAATGTTCGACAGTTTACCTACCCAATTTCTTCAATTCAATTATTTGTTTATTTACTTGCTCCTCTTTTTCATGTCGTTCATGAGGAAGAAATTGAGGGACATATTCGACTAGAAAGCGGTTTTCGTCTTTGGACAGCACTTTGGCAGCAACGTTTGCCAGAACTTATTTGTTTCTCGGCGCCTGTAAAACAAAGACGTAATCATTTACCTCTTCTTAATACATCTACTTTGCTTCCTTGGACGAAGCGGACCCAAAGGTGTGGAGATTTTTTTAAGTAAGGGCATGAGGGAATTGTTGTAAATTTCTACTCTGGTTTAGTTTATGAAAATTTATGAGTTCAATAACTATTGTCAGTAATGGCGTTCGAAGTCCTCTTATGATGTTATTAATAATCTTCAAGTACAGTATAATCATCGGTTTTAAATATAACTTAATTATATTCCCTTTAGATTAATAGATAGATTTTTTAAAAGAAATTTTATGTTTTTCTAAAGCACTGCTGCTGATCAGGGTATTTATATTGGAGAGAAAGCCCCACTAGCAACATCAGCATTTGCTCCATTTGTGAGCGTTCGAAGACCATCACAAATTCCCCCGTCTTCCTCCTCCTCTCAACAAATAAATACAACAGCAATTCCCCCACCAAAACCCCCAAGAACCGATTTAAATGTATTACAAGAATTGGAAATGCAGAAAAGGAATAAAGATAAAATTGTAGAACAAGAAGTTGAGGAAATTGGCAATAAACAACAACAACATTTAGTAGCTTTGGGGACTAGTACTTCACAAGGCAAAAAGCTTTATTTGAAAAAATATTTAAAATATTTAGGAATTGTCCGAAGTGTCAGTGATTATAAATCCTCTGCTGCAGACCAACAATCACAGCAAGAATTAAATAATTTAAGAAAATCTAGGACAACCACTAATGCTTTCAATTCAAATAAAAATATTGAAAATTCTCCAGATTCTTTAAATGATGAAAGTTTTTCTAATGGAATACAAAAAATTGATGATCTTTTTCATTACTCTGATGATGGCGGTTTTAGCTCTTTTAATTTGTCCTTAACTGGTGGGGCTAATGCACCAATTGTTAAAATGAATGAAATATGTTCTGGGGCTTCAATTGACAGTGAATCTGTAAATGGAACAAAATTTGAGAAATTAGAAGTAGAAAAACAAAAAGAGGAAGAAGAAACAATTGGAGGAGGAGTTTCTAGTAGTAATATATTAGTTACTACTACAACAAAATCCTCACTTCGAACATTGGTCTGATAAAAAAATAGTAAATGAACTAAAAATTATTTTAGACTTGTACTTTATCTGGAGATGACAGTACATCCCAATCTAGTCAACAAACAATTATTGCCCGTCCATTACAACACCAGCAACAACAACAACAAACAATTAAACAGCAACCAAAACAACAACAAAATACTCCAATTCCTCCAACCCCCAAATTATCAAAAATAATTACAAAACGCTCAGATTCGGAAATGAGTGTTGGATTAGGTGAAAAATCAGCGGGTGATTCTCCTTTTCCTTCAACAGCTTCTTTAACAGCAGACCCTCACGAAGCTAATTATTTAGATATTGCCGTTCTTAGATGTTTATTAATTAAAAATTGGGCAGAAAGAGGAGTATTTTGGGCAGTAAAATATTTATTAAATCGTTTAATAGCAATGCGTCAATATAGGTGTTTACATGAAGGAATGTTTAGATCAAGGTAGTGGAAATATTTTGTGGGATTATTAACTAGGGTAGCTTTTTGGCAAAAACCCTGACCCGAACCCCGACATGCTCTCCCCGGCAAACCACTATCCCGACACTTTCGGCCCTGAAGGCTCGGGGTGCTACCCTATTATTAACTTCTATACATTATCACACAATATTTAAAACCACTATTTTATATACCAAATTCCCCTATATTCTTTGTCAGATGTAACTCAGACACTGCTGCAAACAGAAAAGTATCTAAAAATGAGACAACAAATCTTGAATCGGTATCTTCATTCTCTTAAATATACATAAAATTCCCCCCAATTTTAAAGCAATATTTAACTTGGGCTGATTTACAACAAGAAAACCCTTCTACGGAAAAAATTGAAGAAACAAACATTCCTCCTCCTTCCCCTCAAAAACAACAACAACCTCCAATAGAAAATGTTTCATTAATTAAAGAACGTCGAAAGTCTATATTAGGTTTAAAACGAAGTAGTGTTGCTGAACAAAAACAAGAAATTGCTAAACAAAAAGAAGAAAGTTTTTTAATACCAAAAATTGATAGCGATAAGCGTAGGCGAAGAATTTCAGCAAATACTTTACCTATTAAACAGACAAAAAAGGTATTTGGGAATTTTATAAAGATTTTTGAAATTTAATTTGTGTATTAAATGTTGATTTTAAAAATGTGGTACTTTTAGAAATGTCTGTTGAAAAACAACATTGGAGTATGTTGTTTTCTTCTAGCTGTTTTATACCTTAATTTACTTTACTTTGTTACAAGGACTTTTCTTATAGTGTTACTTTAGAAGATTATTATTATCTTTTCATAGCCATCATAACCGAGGGACTCCGGTCATCGAAAAATCTCGAAGAACCAAAAATTTATCAATTCAGAATCAATCAGCCGTAGTAACCAAAATTTTTGATCGAGTTCTTGTCTCGGAACATCCTTAATTTTAAAAAGAATAAGCTATATTAATTCTTTTCAGATTTCTCGTGCAGAAATAGCTTCTGGTTTTTCAAATAAAAATGCTCGAAGCCGTAGCGAGCCTTCACTTTTTTCGCGTCATTCTGATTCTTTAATCCATGGAAGGTGTTCTATCTGCCCTCCTTCATCTCTCCAAACAGATCCTCAAGACAAATCTTCACCCCCATCAAACTATCAAAGAAAATATTCTCAATTTTTCCCAGAAGCAATTGGCAGTGCACAATTTATTGAAGGAAATGGACATTTATCTATGTTAGCATTACTTAAAACCCTCGGGGCTTTAATGGAACGTTGTACTGTTGTTAAAGTATCTGAGGTATGTAAATTACCTATATGAATCTTAATTAAGTATATTTATTACCGTAATTCCTTGAATAATTACCCTGGGTAATTTATGTTTCAATCTCTCACTTGAGTGAGTAACTAATCTAGGGATGGAGAGGGGGGGGGATTGATAGAGGTTATACATTACTTTTTGTAATCCCTTATTGAATAAAATTATTTTGGACTGTTTAACGGATTGATTGTTTACGATAATTTTTAAAATTAATTTCGAATTTTCTTTTTAATATTTTCTAGATTGTATTAAATATTTGTGATACTTTACTAAATATGCCAAATTTGGAATTTTATGGAGCTCGTCTTTTCTTTGAAAATATTTTACATATTTTACACCGTGTTTGTCTTCAATTGGGTTGTCCGAATGGTTGTAATGAAGGAAGTGTTAAATGTCCTCAAGCAGAATTTTTAAGAATAAAATTGAGAAATTTAATTGCACAAATGCATAGAATTAAGTAAATTAATTTAAATTAAATATTGGGTACAAGATTAGATGATTAGAGATTAATTCGAGTTATTATTAATTCGTCCTTAAATTTTATTACGCTTCCTCATCTTATTTTTCACACTTTTGAATTAATTAAATTTCAGTAAAGTAAAGAAATTTTTAGTAAAAAATCTTTCTAATGTGAATTTAAGGATTTCAATTTCATTTTTTGATAAATTAAAGGAGTCAAACCCATTAGTGTTCGTGTAAGAAAATGTGTAGGGTCTTTAATAAATTCCGAACTCTCGTTCATTTTATAAGGGAAAGAGAGTTATAATTTAAAACTCATTTTATTTAAGTTCCGAACTTTTAATTGAACTTCTTCGTCAATTAGTAAAGTCAATACCTATAGCTCAAATGGTTGATACATTACATTCATTAACTATATTTTGCCGTGCTTCGCCATCTTTTAATAAATTACATCAACGAAGTATATTAACTAGTGGAGGGAAAGGTTAGAAAAAACCCTCAAGAAAAATCTCTATTAATTTAATATTTTTTAGTCCAACAACCCCAATCAACAACCAAAACTAATTTAACTCCAAAAATGCCTCCAACCTACAAAAATAATTTTAATGAAGCTTATGGAGGTATTGAAAGTATTTTGATGAGTGCTATACTTGGACCTTTACTTTCTAAATTAACTGCTTCTTCTGCTGAATTATGGCAGCCTGAAAATATGAGTCTTGCACAGGATGTTAGAATGTTGATAGCTTATACTTTTGAGAAACATGGAAATCCTTTACGGAGATATGCAATGGCAAGAAAAATTTTCTTAAATATACTAATTAACTTTCCTTTAATTTATTTTTCTCTTTTCTGAACGATCCCCATTGTACCCCTTCTATCAGATAACGGGGTTGTTAGTTTCATTTCTTGGAGGATTAAATTTAAAATCATTTAGAAAATAAAATTTTTTAGAGTGCCATGTCTGCAAAAACTATAAACCGAATCGGTTCTGCTCGTTGTCCGTGGAATGAACCTCCACCATCCTCACAATTTACATCAACAACAATAAATACATTACCAATAACCTCTAAGAATAAATTAACAACAATAACAACAAATACCAATAACCAACAATCATTATCAATTGCCCCAGCAAGAGAATATGCTGCTTCATTAAGACGTGGACTTTTTAGAAAAAGAGAATGGATGCAAACAACATTAACTAAAGAAGAATTAACTGGGTCTTGTGGTGGTGCTGATAGTGATGGAGGTGTAAATGGAGGGGGAGGGGATTCAACACAATCTACTCCACCACTTAGAATTCATCCTTCAACATCGATGGACGATTCTTCGCTTGGAAGTCCTCAACCACAATCAGTTACTTTAGCACCGAAGAAGGGAGCAGGAAAAAATTCTTCAACAAAAAAAGGCGGCGGGGCAACTGGACGTTTACTTGGACTTCTTAAAGGAGTGAGAATTATGTAATAAATGAGAACCTTACTATAAGATACGTACAACATACATATATCTCAATTTAAGATAAGGCGTACCTTGTGGGAAGCTACCTAAGCGATATCTCAATTTATGATAAATCTTATTATAAGGGGTATAATTTATTTTCCCTTAGGCTCGACATGGCACTACAAGTTCCGATCAAACTGTCATAAATTTTGGAGACGATGATGGTTCTTTAATTGCAACATCTGATGAACAACAAACTACAACAAATTTAGTAGAAGATGATAGAGAAAGTTCATTAGGTGGTGGAGGTTCTTTAGATGCTGGAAGTGTGGGGCGAGGAGGAGGAGGAAAGTCTAATACTGGCTCTAATATTCGAGCAACACCTCCAAGTCGATTAGCAGCTCCGAAAGCACATTTCGGAATTATGGAAGGTGAAGAAAAAGGAGGAAGGCATTTTGATCAGCCCTCAGCCAGTTCACCTCAAAATATTCCAAATTTCTTGCCTCAAAGAAAATTTGTTCAAGTTTTCAGATTTTCTCAGAAAATAATTTAAATTAATATTCTTGTAGATAAAAGAAATTAGAGAAGGAGCGGCACGTTTTGCTTTTATTCTAGAGAACAGCAAACCTGGCACTTTTCCAGACGCTCCTTTAATTGCTGCACTTCCTGAGTTGAAATCCACTGTACTTTCGAGGTACAGAAGTTGAATAAAAGATTTTAAACATTTATTTTCATAGGGCTGTATTATTACTTGAATGTATCCATTTTGTTCATCGTTGCAATAACGGTGCATGGCCAGATTGGATTCGAAGGTAATCTGTTTAAAAATCAAGCAATCCTATTAATAATGTTTTCTCAGTGGAATGTCTTTGCCAGGTCGATTATTTACTTCTTCAGCAACGGGAAGTGGAGGATGTGTCCCCCAAACACCTCTTCAACCACAAAGTTCAATTCGTATTGGAGGGGGAGGTGGTGCCTCTCGCCGAACGGCTTTAATGCAACGGGCCATTGGGAGGGCTCTTTTTTCTTGGGCCTTTCAATTAGGTATTCGACTTCAACGTCAATTGGATTTAGAGACGGAATTGAAAAGTACTGCTGAAATTCGGAATTTAAAATTAATGGATGAACTGGAGGATTTTTTGGACGATGGAACTGTTAATACAGGGGATAAAGATGGTAAATTAATTAAATTTTTAAAAATTGTTTAATGTATTATCTCAATCCTTCTCTAATAAATATTTTATATCATATTATTACACCCTCAGGGTCAATACCAGAAATTAAGGGTTAAATGACAGAATTAAATATCCTGGCTAAATATACCGAAGAAAATAGGGAAAATAATGTATTTCTGGTGCGGTTTCCCTTAGATTGAGTTAACTAAGACTTTGGATGTCTAATATTTGGTCGGAGTTGGTGTTTTTTCCAATTATTAATTCTTAAAAAAATTTAGGTAAAGGATTGGGCACTGCTTTTCCCGTAGCATTACAATTAATGGTTTGTATGCTTTTACAGCAAATAACTTCTTTTCTTCGTGAAACCTTTCAATTATTACCTCGTAGCAGACAACTTTCTCAAAAAGCAAATAGTGCTGTATCTAGTGGTTGGGAACGTTTACAGGTAGTTATCGAAGCTTAAAATTCGTACAAATACTAACTGATACTACGAACGGGCATATTTACTGTCCTTGCTCTTAAAATTAAAATCTCTAAATTTAGTCAAATCGTCGTTGGTCCATTTTATCAAATACTTTCAATCCTCAAATGTTACAACAACAACAACATTTAGATGTTGTTAGCGGTTCTGTCCATTCAATTAATGAATTACATCCGGAACGCCGTATAAGTTATTCAACAGCAGATGACGAAAATTCCCCCAGAGGATCACATGATTTAGTAGGGGAAGAACAACATTTACAATTACTTCAACAACAACAACTTTTAGAGAAAACTGGAAAAGGTAAGGGGGAATTATTTAAATAAATAAAATATTTAATAAAAGTATTTATAATTAAATTTCTCCTTAATATTTCCTTCTGCTTTTTGCCATTTATATTTAGCTTAAGCTTTGCCTTTTTTTAATTTTATGTTAAAATGGGAGTCAGATTCGTAGATTTTTATTTTTCTTATTTATAAAGTTTAGATTTTATATTAAAAAATTTGGAAGTTTATTTTAATTAGAATTTTCTAAAATATTTTTTTATATTAATTTAATTTATTTTTACAGTGCTGGAAAGAAAAGATAGGACCAGAGGCTGTTAAATTAGTTTTTTTCGCTTATCTCTTTTTAATGGCATTTAGGAAAAAAGTTCCAACACAAAAATTTTAGGCCTTCAAGTGCTCTTTAAAATGAGTAAAATATCAGTATACTTTATAGCCTAATTTGACAGCCTCCAGTCCTATCTTTATTTCCGGCACTGTATCTCGTTAAATAAAAATCTACTATTTAATTATTTAATCCCTCATATTTAACATAAAGTCTCAACAGAAAAATCGCCATATTCTCGTCATATCCACCCTCGTTCTAATACTCAATCTCCTTCTTCATTATCTTCTACTTTTCTCCGATTTGCCTCTCGATCTCGTCTTTTTGGAAAAGTTGATTATTATTCTCCATTAATGCAGAATGACCCAACAGAATTAATTAATAATTTATTACAAACAGAAAAAAATAATTTTCAACGAAGAAATTGTTTAAGTGAAGAAAGAAAATATCCCCCATTAATTGTTGATAAAGCTAGAAGCGAAAAAAGTAGAAGAAGTGCCGGGACTGGAAAAGATTTTGGAAGTAGTCATAGCCGTTCTAGATCAGGTTTAAAAATATAACAACAATAACAACAATTAAATTAACAACAATATTTAATTTTACTTTGCTTTCCTTTTCTGTCTTTTTAAATGCTTTTTGCTTTTGTTTTAAGCTTTCTTTACTTTAAAACTTTATTCGGTACTTATCGGTTATACGCCCACAAACTGAGTGCCATCCGAAATTGATTGGCTATAAATTTTTTGAGCTAGATCCAATTCAAATAAATTTTATATCATTCGAAAGCCCTTGATAAGAGGTACCTTTTTTCTATAGGATAGATCAAGTCTGATCACTCATTTAAAAGTTAAACACACTAAGTCCAGTTATTTGGTGTTTTTCACATTTAAAGGGTTAGAACTTTTTAACGAGTGATCAGACTTGATCAATTTAACTGGAAAAAAGATTCCTCTTATTGAGGGCTTTCGAACGATATAAGATTTATTTGAATTGGATCAAGCATCAAAAAGTTAAAGCCGATCAAATTCGGGTGGCACTCAGTTTGTGGACGTATAACCGATAAGTACCCTTTATTCTTTCAATTCTGTCTTCTTTAAACTTTGTTTTCTTTTTATTTTCCAAAATTTCCTTTCCTTTCTATTTTTCAAATAAAAATTATTTTAAATTGTCTTTATAATTATTTTAGTTCGCCGATTAGCTCAAGGAAGACAACGCCTTCTTAAAAGAAGTTCTCCTTCTTCGGGAGGTATTGCCCAACAACAAACACCTCCCCCTAGCGCTTCTTCTGTTGTTGACACCTCCTCTT